GATCACATAGTCTGAGATCGGCCAGATACCCAGTTATAACAGCAGTGTCGTGGGAACGGATGAAGAATGGGCGCTAGCTCGTACCAGTTTTCTAGAGATGCATCGGCTTATCGAGGCCGGTGCGATAATGAAACCAGAGTCAATGTTTGCTTTCCGTAACACAGGGGGCGCTAACGCAGCGTTGTCTTCCGCAGATTTGGAAATCGAACGCGTCGTCTTCCGCAGGTCGTGTTTGGAAATGTGGACAATTCTCGTAACGCATTACCCTAGCCTCATTGGGCCGCGGTGATCCGGTTGGCATTTCGCGTGATCAAAACAATGACTGTTTTCGTATCGTTTTAATTAGCGGCCCACTTGTGCTACGCGCGGAAAGGACTGGAACGTTGGAGCCTTGGCTTTACACCTCCACGCTACCCACGGCTACCCTGGTTTGGTCATCGGCGTGGGCGCACTTGCCTAATCACATGCTAAGCCTCGTAATGACCCCGCTAAGACGTTTGCCGAGGGGTGCAGGAGCGTCGACATTAAGGCCGGTTGAGCCCACGCCGTAATACATCGTCATCGTTGCAAAATAACATTTGTTATGACGTAAGTAACTTTCAACAGAAAGGCTCCTTGCCTACAAGGTGATGAAAAGAATGAATTAAAACAACAATTTGTAAAAGATCATAAATATAAATTTAACTTTAATTTCGCTCTGCAGCCATGAGACGTAGCAGCTAACAAACTTTTAAGTAATTTACTAAAAAGGTATATAAAAAAAGCGTGTTCAAGAGGCTATTAAACTTTCGCTTATCCGTTATCAGCGTGTAATCTGTAAAATGAGTTTGTGTAACATTCAAGATAAAATTTATCAGGGAATCTGATATTTCATGCTACCAACTATCGTGCAAATCTTTCGACTTAATATCTGAATGATTGGGCGTTGATGTTCCTTTATCTTGTATTGGCAATCGTGTTATGTTTTATCAATATATTAATGTTTTGATTGATTTGTGTATGTTTACTTATGGTAACACATTGTTATCTAGTTATGATTAACAGTTTTCGGAATGCAAACAAAGTGTATGCAGAGATTGTAAACAATCCATGATTTACTTACAATAAGAAGTATATCTTATGCTTCATCAACTGAAACATCTGTAAATAACATATTTTAAGTCTTACCCTACACCAAAGATTGAATCATATACGCACACTGACACCAACAAATGAAGCACATTTTGCCTTTTGTTTAGTGACGTTTTAAATCATAGTTTACTAAACTCAACAGAGACTAGAGATGTACTTACAGTATCGACAAACCCTATGAATGAATTGAACAACATGTGAATTGTCCTATTTATTTTGGAAAGAAGACAGGTAAAGGGGATAAGCTAGTCAGCGGTTCACGAGATGTTAAGTAATTCCCACTGCCCATGGCTACCCGTGAGAAATTAAAATTTGTGTTGCTAACTTTGAATGGTTGGCCTCGGTTACCTTACTAAGCCGACGTAATGCAGAAAACATACTTCGCCACGTCGAGCATTTAAATTCCCGCTCATGTTTTCTTGACGAACCGTTCTCTTTACACTGCGGTGGGTGCTGCTGCGTGGTTTCACCACAGTGAGAGTTCACGTGGGCTTCAATTAGAGAACATAGACCCGCTTTCGGACACCGAAAATAGACGGTGATCACCGATTCCGTCGTAACGCGATACGCGCCCGTCTAACGCTGTCAGGCCGCCGTCGATATTTTCGTCAGACCGCTCGACGTGTCAAATAAACCATAAAACTATCTAGCGCACCGCTCGTGATTTTTGTAGCGGACGCGCGGCGGAGCCAATCGCAAAGCGTCGACGTTACTGCAGGAGAATACGACGTCTGGAGGGCTCTCAATAACACTATCCAGAGTCGATCATCGACAATCGGCTGAGACATATGAAAGGGTCGGACCATGTTAGTGCACTAAGCAGTAGTTAAAGCTTACTGCACTAACTAAGCAGTTAGTGCAGTAAGCTTTAACCACTAAAGAACTACAAACGGAACATAAAGTAAGGAGATACGATAAGTAAACCCGCGCCAGCTGGTGTTTGGTCTTCAAGTGGTAACAAATTTCTTGACATCAAAAGCTCATGAAAACGTGACTGAATGAAAACGCAAATATCAATCACATAAGAAGTCTCTCGAAACACATATACCCGCGAGTAGCTTGAATTAGTTCTAGTCAATGAGCAAATAAGGTCTCGCTGAATAAGGCCCTATTGCAATAAAGCGACGACTACCTAAGTTATTCAGCAGTCTTCAAGGGAGGAGTATATAACCTTAAACTGAGATAATGCGTTCACGATCTGCGAATGCATTGAAAGTTACCAGGTGGGATAGCAGTTAAGTACTGGCCAGTTTCTTACAAATACACAATAAGTATAACCATGGAAGGTAGCCCTATGCCCTTAGTTTATGCAACATGAAATAGGACAAAAGAACACAGCTCTACGTAAAGTGGCGTTGTTGAGGATTTCATGTCCGATCCGAGCTGTAGATCTCAATCAATCGGCGGATAGACATATCCAGGTATATGTGAGTTTTTGTTGTTCGTGTTTGTAACCTGCGCGCTGTGACATCATCCTCTCAACCTGTTAAAGTGCGAAAACACAAATTTTACGACACGCTGTATTATTTAAACATTTTAAATAAGAAGCATATTTATGCATCAATGTGTGGTTTTTTATATTTATTTTAATAAAAGTCTAAGCTACACTTAAAGAGCAATTGGTCTCCACTGCGACGGTCAAGTGGAAAAACAATGTGAACGTTCAAACATAATTCGTTTTAAATTTCCATTTGAAAGCACCGCGACGATTCGCCATCCAGTCGGACTGGACCGAAACCAATCACACGAGATTCGTGTAATGGTGACATGTTTCCTAAGTGAGCAACTAGTTTAAATGCGAGTAAATATTGAACAATATGCGAACGGTCGCGAGGACGTTGGGTGATGTCCTAATCTTACATATTGGTCGCAGCCGAATTACATTTTGTTAGCTCTTCGCGCCATTCCAACACCGTTTATTCAAATAAACGTAATGTATCAATACTCAAACATGTTGCAATTTTTACAACAGACGCCGCAGAAGCGTTATGCTTACAGTGTAAAAAAAAATGGCTGCAACCTAATAATACCTATCAAATAATGCCCTCTTAATTTTTTTTTGGACCAACGTAAATTGCCAACAGAATTCTTCTCTGCTCAAATAATGTTGCAGTATGGCCTAAAACCTTCTATAGGATTTTGTGACATCTGAAAATGGCTCACTTCAAGTAATCACAATTTAAAATATGTTGTTAATCCATTATTTTTTGCTTGCGCAAAAAATATCAAACAGATTTGTAGTTTGCAGTGACCTTGAGCTAGTTGCACAAAATTAAATGACAGAAACGGCTGCCGACAATAAAGCTATTTATGTGGTGCGGTAAGCGGACATTTTTCATAATATGTTCTGTGTTTGTCCTAAAGTCCTAAAGGATAGGATGGTATTGGTCTTTGCGCTATGGTACGGCATAAAACGGTCTGTTCTCTTTAACCAAGTTAAAATTCTATTATCGTTCCGGCATAACTGACAGTAAATCGCTGCTGTGTTATGACATGTAGAGGTGTCAGCACCGCAGACCTCGCTTGGGTTTAAGACGTGACATGACTTTTTAATAGATTCACTCGAACATTTAGAAAAGTTTAGGCCGACCCTGTATACCTTTTCTTATATATCCGTTTTGAATTCAATGTTAGAACAGAAGAAATAGGTAAAAATTGATTCTGTGACAAAATTGTAAACATTTACAATGACAAATCTTAGGCACGGTATTTTTTTTTAATTTTTTTTGTACACGCATTTAATGTTTTATTACAAAAAACAATACACTAAAATGCATTTTTATTACCATCGAGAGAAGGAAATATGAAACATTCCTTATCTGTAGTATTTTCTGTGGCATTAACATTATTTGCTCTAAATTCTAACAGGAAATAAGATGTATATTGTTGTGCCGTTTATATGCATAAATTTAAAAATCATTTACATGCTCATTGAATATTTGTTTCTACTCGTACGTTTTCAGTGCCGATTTTCCACAACACTAATTAGCTGTGCAAAATATTTTTATAAATACATAATAGATATTGATAAACTTCATTTTAAAAATTAGGAACAGTCATTTTTTTATGTTTCATATACTGTATACAATAAATTAATGATTACATTCGTATAATCACGGTTCGTCAAAAAATCTAACCAACTGTCAGCATTACCAAATGCATCAGACAATTGTTAATAAGAATAATTTCAAACTGCACCATCAATCAGTTCGCTAAACACGTAAACAAAGTGTCAAGCCGAGTTGGTTGGCGGGCTTGGTAGCGATAAGGTAGGTACGTGCACGCTAGGTACCCGCGGGCTGGTTGCGACCGGTCATTAAACAAGGCTGCGTCGGGCTGCGTACAAATCTCGTATGACTGAAAACGGCCGACAACGGCACGGTGTGGCGACATTCCGGCCGCCAGCGGAATGCACCGCGGCCCTTCGAACAGGTTCAGGACTTGCGGTCCTTTCAGAGCGCGCCCCCATTCCATAGGACAATCGCGATTCGTCCACGGGATCGGCCACTAAACAAACATTCAACTCTCACAGCTGGGCGATACCGCTCTACAGTGCACAACTAAACACGTTTACTCACCAAGTCCATTTCACCGATCTCCTACGTCGACTGTTCGAAAAACGACCGCAAATCACCGAAGGGAGACTTTCTGCTTTACTTCGCTTTTCGAAACGAAGGATCGCGTTACAAACACCACTGGACCATAACTCGGCGGGGCGAAGACAAAAATAAACTTAATATCGTGTGCGTTGTAGCATTTGTCGACGCACCAATTCACGATCGCCCCAGTGACAAGAATCCGCAATAGACTCCACCGAGTGCATACTCGTGACGATGTTTTTAATGCAGTATAATAGAACTGGGACCTACCTTCATCCAAAAGTCGTTCCATGTGCATGAAAACATTCGGGAACGCAGCCAGTTGCTTCCTGTCTTTGAGCAACTGAGCTAAGTAGTCCGCTATACTTTGCGTCGAAGGACTGTTATTATCACACATTTTGATTAATATTTTTAACTTACGACACGTTAAATGTTTCTTTCAACACGTTGGATGAGTGATTGTACTTTAGTTACTGATTACTGTTATTAATGTGAGATATCTATGTTAGAAAAGTTAACTTCACTACCACACACATCAACGTTTCGGTCACCACTAAATGACGAAGTTGACCGAAGTGAAGTTGTGGGCGAATATAGCGCTGCGCCTGCGCTCTCATCGAATGGATTTTTTGTAAGCGCGTGCGGCTGCTGTCCACAGTGTAGGCGTAATAATAACCTCTCGTTATCCCGCTCGCTCTTTAGATCCAATATTGTCTATCTCTTTCTAGAACCAAAGGAAAGACCAATCGCGGGGGTGGTGCCATCTAGCAAACATCGCAACAACTATTAAAACTTTAGATTTACACAGTACTCACATCGTTCATAATTAAACAGTCGCGTTGATTAAATTAAAATGGATAAATTGGACATATACATTCCGTTAAGCGGAAGCTTATAAAACATTTAATTTTTTTCATTTAAGAAATAGAAAGATTTCAAATGTTTAAACATCACAGACATTTGAAATCTTTAACATTTACAAAAACTACGTTTAGAAAATATAAGATGATGAGATGATAAAATGCTACCAATAGTTATTATTTCATCAGTGCAAAGTGGGCATAAATCTGAATTTTAATATCATTATTGAACGAATAGAAGAATTAACCAAAAATAATTAGAAACAATAAAATATTTTTTTTGCACTGATAAACAAGATACGGTCTTATGGTTGGAAACTAATCTCTATAAATGAAAGTCACTCATTAACATTTATTCCGAATATGTAACCAATTCCATTTCCGATTCTAATAATTATATGCTAATGTTAGAACATTAACATAATATGTAGACGAATGTTTTGGAATACAAAAAATTGAAAAAAAACTTTTACTACGTATTATTAAAAAATGATTAAAATTAATTTTCTACGTGTAACAAAGATTACAGAATATTTAATGACCTTATCATTTGTGCAACGCAACTAGATTGTTTCATCCCTCTTAACATTAAGACTTCTAATAACTGTTTTTTATTTTATGTGATTATGTGTCTCTACATGTTAAAATACATCTGTCAATGAAGGCCGATAAAAATTAACTTGGGAAAAAGAAAATTTCTACGATTATTTTTCCTCATTTATATAGTCGTTTACAATATTTGTGGTACATTTTTAAACAGCCTTATGTGATTCATTGTGCACATAAAAGGAGGGTGACAAGTTACAACATGTTGCATGAATTATGCGAAAATATATTCTTAGGAAAGTGATGTCATCTCTTATGGCAAAATTATTTATCCATGTGATGATTTCAAAGTATAGCATTACAACATGGAAAATACTTTTCTTTTATTTATTTCTGTTTCAAGTTAAACATGATATGAAATATATTTCGTTTTAGCTCTAGAAAATTCTTGATTTCATCGGTAATGGGTAAACTGACCACTTTTTTTCTAACTCAAAACGGGACATTGATTTATAATGAAAATAAATATAACTTTATAATTTTCTTTATTCCGAATAGATTAAAAATTAAAAGATACAAAGAAAAAATCATCAGTTCACTATTTTTTATTAAAACAACATTGGCATATTTTTATATTTCTCAAAGAAACACATTTGTTTTAATAAAGGTGACGATTTTAAATAAGAATAAATTTTGAATCTTTTTTTTTATGCGAAAAGTTGCCAAACGAGCAGATGGTTCACCTGATGTTAAGTTAATACCGCCGCCCATGGACATCTGCTGGTACAGCCCAGAGTTACAGATGCGTTGACAACCTTTTGAAAATTGGGCTCCGGCTACCTCACTCACCATACGAAACGCGAAAGTATTTGTCATACTTCCACTTTACGCTGGTCTTCTGCGAGGTCGTGGTACTTACCCGGACGGGCCTGCCCATTCGTGCAATAGCCGAGGCCCTGCCACGTGTGGCTCGTTTCTTTTATTAACCTTTGTTATCAGCGTCGACTTCAGAACTGGAGCTGTTCAATATCACCAGCAGCACCCGTGGGAAACACTAAACTGTCGGACACTTCGCATCCGAAGGAGTGTTAATTTGCTTAATAAATGCATATTTAGTTTGTAGGTTGACATTAAATGAACACTTGGGTTTCGACATAACTATAGGAAAAATTTCAAAACAACAAAAGTTCAAATTATCTACACACCTATTTAACGAACATTACTCAAAAAAAAGAAAAGAAGCAAATACCCCCTTCGCTTTCCTCCTCACCGCGTTAGGAAACCGAGAGCTCGCGCATTCGGGGAATAACCGGGAATAACCGCTGCTCATGATCATGTCTGACGAACGTGGTTTTAAAATTTTGGCGTGATTTCGGAAAACGGGACAATTTTGCGTCTCGAAGATTTGTTCGGGGACAAAGGGACAGCTGTCCGAGAAAAGGGACAGTCCCGTTCAAAACGGGACGTATGGTCAGTTTACTTATGGGTAGGGTTGCTAGTCATACTATATTATATAGCATTATACCATATTTTACGTCTAGATCCTATAATGGAAAAAACATAGTAGTGCTTGAAAATTCAATCTAATGCAATGAAGACTGCATTTTGCAAAACTGAAACTTACAACAAGTACCGAAATTCCTCAGTTTTGGAAGTCGTTTAACAAAACTTAAAGGACAGACAGAGCGAGACGACTTTGTTTTATACTATGTAGTGATAACAATTTTGAAAATACTATAATCAGTCGATTAAATGTTGCCAACCCTATATGTATTGACTATATACGCATTTGATCGGTAATGAGGAGGTGGATGCTCAGTGGAATAGCTCCGTTTACCGCTCAGGGCAGGGGTCGATGGAATATAATTTGGATGGCTAGAATAATAAGACACAATTACTTTGTTTACGTACATTGAAGACTTACTTTCTTGGCTAGACCTTCCCTTTGTAGAAAAAGGTTATATTAATTGGATATTTATAGCTTTACTTGAGTTCTTTTACTCTACCTCAAAATAGTATGTCCGTTATTGCTGGTTGTATGTGATAAATAAATCATCACTATAATGGACAACCGTCCATTCAACATCCCACTTTGCAGTGACGAGTATAGTAGATAACGTAGGGCGTAAACTTCTGAATTTTAAAAAGTGAACAAGAATTGAGATTAGAGTTTAATATCGAAAATTGCCAGCCAGTGCAAACATGTAAAGAGTTCAGGAAGGAGGTCTATTAGTAAGTAAAATAAAACCTCGTTGCAGAACAAAATCATAGAAGACCAGTCGCCGTACGGAGGGCGTCAAGGGTCAATCTTCAGCTCCACTCAATAACATAGGCAGTGCTTGATGCGGTCTACCGGGCCCGAAAGTGGGACAAGATATATTTTAGTAACAAATGCGAAGAGCCGAAAATTCACTGTCTGTTTTGAGTCCGCGACCACACTTCGCAAGTTCGACATCCCAGCAACCACGCCATTCTTATTCGTATTAACATCGTTCTTGAGTACATCGGTAACTGGTAATTATTTTCATGAGTTTTACAAGCGATAAAGTACCGACAGTTTTCATCTTTGTGTAATTATTTGCGTAGGTATATTCAAAAATTAACCAAAGCAAACGGCTTCTTTCTTTGTGATTATTCGCAAATTTCGAGCTTGTGAGCTACTAAAACTGATTTGCGCATGTGGCAATTAACTTAAAAGAAGAGATTGTAGGTACTAATCTCAGCGGCTTTTACCAACGAAGTTTACATTTGCCGGATAATGTGCAAAAAAATGTTAACTAGATAATATTGGAAGTAAGTACCTTAAGTAGGATAGGAAGTAAGTTAATGTTGTTCCTTGACCTAGTCAAATTTTTTACTTATTCCAAATTCTCATTTTAAATGTCACCTCTGCGGTTTCAATAATCGAATCAGTTAACGGAGACCTTCACAACAACTTGCAGTAAGCTATTTTATCGAGGTACAAACAACGCGTACGACCACGCAAATATCTCCGAAGTTTCAACAAAATTTGATTTTAATTAGTCAGCACATTCGTTCAATTAGAGCGGTTGCAGTTGGTTACGTTTTATCAATTTCGTTAAAAGGATAAATGGATAATTGACCCCTATCCAAAGCTCTCGGGTCCGTCGAATTAAGCGGATTAGATAGAGTTCCACGCTCCATTTCGGAAACTAATAGACGCTATTGTTCTTGTGCTCGTTAGGCGTCGATAAACGATGATACGTACTGATACGTTGATCAGAAGTATTTGTCAGTCTTAACAACAGTAACAGTATATCTTTATATCGATATACTTAATTTCGACACTTCGCTTCGACGCTTCCCTTGGTAAGCTGGCAAAGCGTAGTCACAAAGCCGATTGTAAATCGACAAACAAATGCTTCCTCGCAGATCATGCCCACTTTAACCGACTTCAAAAAAGGAGGAGGTTCAAAATTCGACTGTATTTCTTTTATGTTTGTTACCTGAGTGAACCGATTTTGATGATTCTTTTTTTTATTTGAAAGCTGTTGCTTCCCATGTGGTCCCATATTAATTTTATATAGCCGCCGCCCATGGACATTTGCAATACCCGTAGAATTGCAGATACGTTGCCCCCTTATAATAAAGTGGTCTCCGGTTACCTCACTCACCAGACGAAACGCAGAAGTATAACACTTCCACTTCACGCCGGTCTTCTGTGAGGTCGTGGTACTTACTAGGACTGACCTGCCCATTTGTGCAACAGCCGAAGCTGTTGCTTGGCCCTGCCACAGTTAATTTATGCGCATTTCTACTAATTATTTTTAGTTTTTACAATGGTTTATTTATTATTAATCATTCTTTTAAATTGATTTTTAATCTTTAGCATCAATCGCTGTCGCTCACGCACGTATAGCTTACGAGGAAAATGCATTTAGCGAGAAAAACCTTTCTTAAGTAGGTATAAGAAAAAACCGGACCTTACGTAATTTTCAAGTGAATTAACCTAAATCGACCATCAGTATAAACTAAACCGGCGTTTCGTACGCTTAAACATTCGAAAACCCTTTATGACAACATTTTCCACCGATACAGAGGTGAGCTTCCATAAAAGCGTTGATTATTCGGCCCCGTTCCGCCTATGGCATCTCGCTCCGAGTCTAATTATCCACACTTTATGGAACTTAGACCTGCGAAGATGGAGATAAAATCACCAGGCCGATACACAATTATTCGCGTTACATTACGTGTATTAAATAAAACTATTTGTTAGTTTAAGGACAACCATAAACGCAAATGTTATTTAGAAACAAAAATTATTTAGTTTAAAATCTTTCAAAAAATTATATGAGGAAGCAAGTCGTGAAACTTGAATAAATTTGGACATTTGTTCAAGTTGTTGTTTCATACTAACTAGTTACCAAGTTATTTCAAAAGTAAGGGCTTTTGGAACCAGATAGTAGATACCCAATATTTCTGGTTTTCGGACGCATTGGGTTGTAATCCTTATAATAATAATTATTTCGTAGTAGTAATTAAATCATTGATACGCGGTGCGATGCTTTAAAGTGATTCATCGATGCGGGAGACCCTTTAAGTAGAAGGTAGACTATGCTACTCAATATAGTCGATTCTGTAACAGAATATATTCGGAAATGTTTTAACAATATCAGCGTACTGCAGAAGGACGTGTATCTTAAACATCCTTCTTTCAGTAGGTTTTTAGGCTGTTGTATATTCCTTAACCATTGTTCTAAATGGGGGGTTATATAAGAATTGCACAATGGAAGTCACGATAGAAAATCACCATAATTGATAGAGAAACGGTGGGAATCGCATTGAAATATTAGAAAATAAACATCTTGTAACCTTTGCCGATTTCAAGCAATGGATTTTTGATATACATGACGCAATCTCGATCGTCAACCGCGGAATGATTTACGACGGACCGCTCTAGGTACGGCCGAGCACAATACAAAATTAATACGACGTCAAGTCCGTTATCTTTTTTATGTTCGTGCATGTAGGTTGCGAGTGCCGTGTGCACATCTTATGTTTCAGCTCTACATGTCCGGATTTCGGCCTACGGCTTTTACGCTGCGGAAAACGTTACGTCATTGCGACGACCAAAGCTTTGGATTATGGCGTTGTCACTCGGGGATGAACGAATGGAAAATACTTTAGAAAATAGCCGTGTCCATTACATACAGTAAATTCAAAAAACTAAAATATTCGACGCGTTTCGAGATATTTCCATTTTTAAAATGCCGGAGTGACCTAATAGATTATAAGCATGGAAATTATCTGTCATTAAGTACACTAGCACAATATTTGTCAGTGTTAAAAACCCTGCAATGAGTAAGATTTTTTTTATCATTTATATTTATTATAATTTCATAGCATTAAATTAATTATAATTTATTATTATTTCATAGCATTTATTATAATTTAATTTCATAGCATGATTAGCAATAGCAACACTGGCCTGGTGAACATGTCAAATTTGTAGCTCCGTATTTTTAGTTTAATTTAAAGTAAATTGTATTATTTCATTATTTCTTAACCGTAGTAAACTACTTAGGTGTATGTAATAAAAAAATAAAAACTAATAAGTGATAATATTGTGCACTACGAAAGAAAATTTGCAAAAACCGAAGTCATCTCCGAGCTGTCACTGGCCTAACCGACGAATTTCCAAAATTCTACGACTCAATCCCGGGGAGTATCTTTATATTATCTCCTTCTTCTTAAGTCATAAAACTACAACATTACATGCTAAACAAAACTCACAAATAGTGAGTAACGTCATTTCATCACATTTTGGCACCGTTACTGTCTCACTTTGCTTGACAAGTTGGAAGCAAAGCTGTAGATAAAAACATTTGCCACAGACATCCTTACTCAAATTGACTTCACAAATACACTTTTCACATAAATTGTTTTAGATCTAAATGAAAATGATAGAGGATCGAGTCTGGATGTATATCAATATAGAAATGAATCGAATAGACGAGACAAATTCATACATTCTCCGGCTGTCGGGAGATTATCGTCCCAGTCTTCAGATCATTTGATTGAGGGCAAAGAAAAAAGGCTTAAAACATACGCAACATTGCAAGAGCAGCGCTCGGACTATAGCAACAGGAAATTAAGATATACTTTGTTGATATATTCTTATCCGGCATGGAAAATTTTTGTCCTTTCTGTCCTCTTCGTTTCTTACGTCCTAGAGAGTTGCCTGTATACTTTTTGCAGACGCCTAGAAAACTCCTTTTGGATCATTATATTGTTGTTCTGTCTGAACATTGTGTTTGCAATCGATGTGATCATTATTTTCGGATTGAAATTTTTCAAGAAGTGGCGAAAAACTCTTAACCTTATGGAGCCCGACTTATGCCGAGTAATTCTTGATATTGTACTGGCTGTGCCGTATTCGTTGCTATATTTTATCGACCCCGATGAAGCTTGGTTCGACTTCTACACTATATCTCCAATAATGGCGACGATACGTGTTTACCGAATCATCGAATACTTTTACGACAGATCGACGCAAGCCGGCAGCAACCAGTGGACCACATTTCTAGTCCAGTATCTGATACTTTTCGTCCTTTCCGTTCATACTTGGACCTGCATATGGTATTTGTATGCCTACAGAAATTATGACATACATAAGAATCGTTCTTCGTGGGCCACGGAGGCCGTATACTTGCCGACTGAAACAACGTTCGATTGGTACTTCATTTGCGCTTACTGGTCCGTCATGTTCCTAACAACAAATGCCCTTGGGGACCTCTACCCTGTGACTACCCCAGAAAGAATATCGGCCATCGGCGCAATACTGTTGGGATTTCTCTTAACGACCATCGTATTCGTCGGTTCGCTGACATCGCAATTTATAACAATAACGACGCGGCGAGCCAAATACGTTAGACAGTTGAAGAAAATACAAAACCACCTGCAGTTAATTAAAATGGACGAATTCACAACGAACCGAATTATCAGGTATTCAATTTAATATATAACTTGTATTGATATAATTCTAACTGAAAACAAACCTATAAATAATAAACCGAGAAATACATTGCAAGAAGGATCGTTAAAATGTAATTTAGTTATATCTCATAGGTTAATAAAAATAAGTTTTACAAAAGAAAAGTGTCCATCGTCCGCAGACAAACTATTTTACCTCACTGTGTGATATTTAAATTTTCTGACATATAATGTTTACAGTCTTGATGACTTGGTGGCACCGATGCTAAACTATGGGCTTCGGCGTCGGGGGTCGTGGGTTCGCTTCCCACACGGGACAAGTATTTTTGTGACATTCAGATAATTGTTCCGGATCTAGGTGTGGGAAACAAACACCTGGAGGAAGGTTGGCGTTAGGCAGGCGCAGGTCGTAATAAACATAGCAAAAACCGCTTACAACATACTTCACATGTTGTGCCGACCCTACCTAGGTGGAATAAGGGCAGGAGGATGGTGATAATAATATTAACAGTTTACTTGTTACCAAAAAAAACTTAAAAACTATTCACAAAGCGTGGTACATAAGTTTTATTACTATGCATTTAAAAAGTTCATTGAAATTTTATTTTATTAAAAGGACATAGTTACTGTTTTTTACTCAATAACGTAACTAGTTCATAGTATAGCAAGTTTTATTAGTTTGAAGAAAATACCTAATGAATTAACACGAAACTAATTACGTACTACGTGACTTGCTTTAGTACGACGCAAGTATAACTAATAAAGATTAGATCTTAATGTATTTTTAGATATTATGAAGACCTGTGGTACGAAAAATCTGGAGTATTTAAACCGAAGCTAATGAAATTACTGCCGTTTCCTCTACAAATGGAAATATGTTACGACTTGAACGCAGTTCCACTGTACAGTTCCTTAATATTTAGAAAGTTACCCGAAGCGTTTTTAAGACGATTGTCGGTAACAATGGGCCACCGGTTTTACTTGCCGGGCGACATTATATACAATCATAATCAAAATAAGACTGTCATGGTACTGGAATGTTAATAAAGTGAGATAAAATTAATATAAGTAACTTCTGTAACACGTATTCTTTCTCTTTTTCCATAGATCTGCATAACAAATGGTGTTTTGGAGTTATTGTCAGATGAAGACGATGAAAGTCCAATGATTTCATTTTCAAAAGGAACCTGCTTCGGGGAGATTTCATTGATTTTAAATATACCAGGTGAGTGAGACGACATTATTAATATTATTATTTGATTTAATTTGTAAGTATTTTTATAAATAATATATAAATATTATTTGAAAATTGCTTGCCTCTTGCAGCAAGGTGTACAGTCAAAGCTGCAACATACGTAGAATGTCAAATTCTGAAAAAGGCTGACTTTACCAAATTAATGATCACGTATCCAGATCTAATGGATCAAATTCGAAAAGAAATGCACAATAGAATAATTAGATCTCGAAACAGAAAAGAGAATCAGACTGGTGACGATCAGCTCTTATTGAATATTTACGTTTCTAAAGATCGTAAAAAGAGTAGTATAAAATGTTTGAAAGATAAACTGAGATACCGACAAGGTTAGTAATGTTCACGTGAATGTGAAAATTATATCAATTTACTTAAACTAACTTGACAAATATTTAAACAGGTAAAACCGATGTCGACGTAAGCAAAGATAGTGCACTCGACGAGAATTGTTTGGATCTCTATATATTATCGGATCATATTAAAAAAAGAAAATTAAAGTTTACATGTCTTAACTGGAGATTCCCGTGGATACTAGAATCGGATTGTTACTTAGCGAAATATTGGGAATTATATATGCTCATCGTCGTGCTTTACATCTGTGTGCTGTATCCGTATTTCATTGGCATAAAGAGGGGATTTCCAAGCGGGCTATTGTTCTATACCGAAATTGTAATCTCCATATCGCTGGCAGTAAACATTTTCATGTCCATGATCACTGCTGTTAAAACAAAAAAGCAGCACATAAAAACCTTTTCAGATATCTTAAAGTATCGTTTGAACTCACCAGCATTCTATTTAGACATATTTGCCTTAGTCCCATTCGAGTACATAGTTACGATACATACAAAAACGATGTATTACGACGATTATAGGGATCATCTGTTTTATTTGTTCAAAGGAACAAAGTTGTGCCTTATTTGGCGTTTAACAAATTTCTTCGGACAATGGGAGAGGAAGTTGCTGTCTAACTCAATCGTTATTAAGGTACATACGTACATTTGTAATTTGTTTAATTCCAGCAGTTTTATCAGCCGTAAATTAATGTCATCAGTAAATTTTATAGTGAATTTTATTATACAGGTAGCGAAGTACTGCACCTTTGTCAGTCTCTTTATGTTATTGGTGTGGTGTTGTATTGTACATGGAGTCCTGTTTTGTAGCACGTTGCTCACAAAACTCGTGGTTCACAAGGGCCATTACTCAGACTAACCAAAAGACTGTAACGAATCAAATCAGGTAGGATGATTTTTACTTGTGGCGATGTTTATCAATAGAAATAAGGACAAACTTACACTAGAAATTAATTAAATTAAACACTAGAAATAAGGACAAACTTAATACGCCATTGTTTCGCCTACAAAGTTATTAGGTCGTTCATGGGGCAAGGTGTGCGCATGTATAATAAAATCCCACAGTCGATATTAAGTCTGCCGCTTGATCAATTTAAACGTAAAATCAAAAGCCAACTTATGGTTAAAGCATATTACACTATTGCGGAATATCTCGACGACGCCAATGTGTGGAGTTAATACTGTTGATACTCACGTAGGGTAGAATAAGACTATTATACCGGTATTTTATATTGTAAACTGATATCTTTGAAAAAGGGCAACTGTTGAGTTTCTTGCCGGTCTCTTCTCAACAGAAACTGCTTTCCGAACCTTTGGTACCTTACGAACCTATATGTATAATTTTTTATGTAAAATTTGACGATTCATAAGAACGCGCAAGCGTCTATTTGAAGAAAGATTTTTGATTGATTGATTGATTGAATAGGCCTCCAATGAATTTACGAGTATTACATTTAAAAAAACTTAATACGGACAAAAATTTATTAACGTTAACAATTATACGACTTTTGAAGATCGTCTTCGTTTTATCTTTCTTAATTTTTTATTATTTACATCACAAAAGCGTCACATTTTTCCCACGTTTTCCATGTCTACCGATATTATGAAAAATTATATATGCCTAATCTTCTACCGCAATGATTTCTCCTTCGAATATAACTTTAAGTATTTCCAGCTCCTCCAAAATAAGTTATCCACTTATAACCTCCGTGTACTTCGCCACTACCCTTGTGCTATCAGTGGGCTATGGAGACTTCGTTCCAGGCGACAAGTTCGACATGGGATTGGTCGCTTTCCTCAGCCTCTACGGTGTGTTGCTTGTTGGCTATTGCATATCGGAGTTTTCCTCTGTTGTAACACATTGGTCGAGGTAATTACGGATATTTTTATAATAAAGAATTAACAAAAATATTTTGATAGGCAATAAACCATAAATTAATTTTTTTTTTTTTTTGCTTTACGTTTTTTTTTGTAGTTTATCTATTATGCGTTTATATTCCAAGACCCCGTGATTCACTGGCCTCCGGCCTAACGCTTTGCAAGCGCCTCTTATATATTGGATTATTCCATTAAATAATAAATTATAGTGAATCAATATTTCAGGACATATTTTTGCGCAGTGTTATCTAATCAAGCGAAGCATGTTTTATGGGTACTAGAACTGATAAACATACATACAAATAGTACTCTTTAAGCACCCAGGCATCAGAGAAACACTTTCTGTCTTTCACAAAATATTACCCCAGTAGTGGGGGATTTAACCTGCCTTTGGATTCTCTGCCACGGGGCACGGGAATACTAAGACGCAATCGTTCTAGAACTTGGGGCGACTATGTCCTACTTAGGCTCCTTTCCCCGGCTACTAGGAAACCAGCTCCGCAACCATTGAATTGAAACGGATAGGGCCGACAACACGAATTGATCTCCTGTTGCCCGCAAATCAGAGAAGAGAGTTGGTGAAAATCCCCGAAGCGTGTTATCCAGTACGGAGAGGCTTCAGTGCGTTCCGTAGGATATTTTGGAGCCTCTCCCAAAATACTAACTTTGACCACCGAGGGTAAGAACCCCAACACCCCTGGCTGGACGCGCGCAACCTTTCGGAGGTTTCGCACGTAGCATCCTGTGCCCTGGACTCATACTAGGGTTGAGAAAGGCTATCAGATGCCCGGACAAGGAGCCAGTCAGCAGGCCCGAATAGCCGGTTGGCTCAAAAGTGCTTTGGTTCGGCAGTTAAGGGCATACGGTCGGCATAAATGAGAGCGCCGAATAGGAAACTTAAGCGAAAATTTAAGCGTATAGCTCCGAAAACCTATGTGCAAATGTTGCAAATAGCTCTGCTACCCATTTGTTGAAATTGAAAGATAGTTATTATACAGCGTGTCGTTACTACCGCGACAATAAATGAACACACGACTAGCGCTACTTGCCAATAATCAAAAAAAAATCCATAATTAAAAAAATATATTTTTCAAACAAACTAATTAAATAAAAAAGAAACAAAATTTGTAACATCCTATACAACTACAACCTACTGATTCATACATTCAGAGACTTTTTCATTCGTTGCCACAACGTTGCCGTACAAGTCTCTCCTTCTAACAGTATGTTTTATCTCTTTTAAATTTATTCAACCCATTCATATACTTTGTGACCTTAACAAATGAATTTTACGTTACAGTTTTATACGTAAGGGTGTTCTAAAAAGGTTTGTTTTTTTACAATTTAATAACTCGGTAAATATTGATGTTTAAAGAATGTAAATGCTTAATACAATTTTAAAAATTTATCCTCTATATGTGTGTTCATTTATTGTCGCGATTGTAACGACACGCTGTATATACATACAAAAATTTACCGTCATATTAATTAAATAAAATATCCCGGATATTTTAGTCAACTTTAGATCACTGTTTCCATTACAATTAATTTTGATTTTAGGACAAAAACCGCCTTTTTAGAAGTCATAATAACCATCGATAAATTCATGAAGGAGAATAACATGCATCGTGCAATAAAATCGAGAATCATGGCGTTTTATGAATTACAATGGCAATACAATTCGGTAAATGTTTTTCTTAAAGCTAAAACTTGCGTAATTTGATGACCTAGTTCCTTGGTCTCGCCTTCAAGCTTGGCGGAAATGCAGCTGCATTACAAGGAAAATCCCACCTTAAGCACCATCCCAGTTAGATGGATTGGTTACCTACTACCAGAAACTTCGCTGATTGAGCTGGATTTTCTGTGCTGAGGCATTTGTTTTCGAAGACTAACTCAAAACCATTCTAATGAAATACACGTCTACTTTGTGTTTGGTCATATTAATACCTAAATGCATATAATGCGTTATAAACTTTAGTTTAACTGTAAGTATACGTTTTTTTCGCGGACCTTGACTCTGTTGTAGTAGTTTAAGCTACTAGTGAAAACGTTTTACGAAATTTCGTAATGGATTTATACGAAATTCTTTACTATGTCAGCGATTTGCTTAAGCTAATAGGCTTATAAATTGAATAATATGCTATTAAATGACGAATGTAATAATCATAACATATCGAATTATTTTAGGGTGTGGAACTAACGGACGACAGTTGGCTGGATACGACCGTGGTGCCTACGGAATTGAGACGGAAGGTGCTACATCAGGCGAGGTTTAAAGCCCTCACATCGATTAAGTTCTTTCAAGTAAAGAACAAAGCATACATTCAGACGCTAAGTGCAAGTAAGTCGTCTATCATGCTTGAATTTTAAGTGTATGTCATCATTGTACTTCATCTTATGTTTTAAAACAAGTTACTTTACGGATATTATCGTTATTTTATTACACGTAGGCAGTTTGAATGATCATTCTTAACAATTTTATTTTTACCTGGTTTCTGAAATGCTCTACTCAAATAAGCATAAAAAGTGTAGCACCATGAATTTCTACATTATACTCAATGGTGGGCACGTATAGCGCAATGATACATAATGTCAATAGCCATCTTTCCAACTGAAAAACTCCGCGATACAAAGATCTTACATTATTATCTATGCATTTTTAAAAATAAATAGAAAAGAAATGAATACAAATATATACTTATGTTATAGCTATTACTGTTTATATAGTTCACTTTTCTACTAAACTACACAATGTATATTCCTCAATGTTCTAGTACCAGGACAAATAAGTAAAATTGCTAAAAACTATAAATAATGCTTAATTTGTTTACAGTGGCAAGGGACATAATTCTTCCACCCGGTGAAATAGTTTACTACGGTGGGACAATTTCAAGAGAATTGTATATAGTTGAAAGAGGTTACTGTTTGGTAACATCGAAAGCGCTACGCGAAGCGAAAAAGGAACGGGTCGTTGGTCCAGGGAATCATCTGGGCTTGCTTGTAATGCTATATGGGGTACCGGCTGTTAACACTGTTGTCACTCTGACGCACTGCAAAGTGAGTGGAGTAGTATAGAGTAAATATAAAGTAAAGTAACAGCCTATATATGAGGAGGCTTTTGCCCAGCACTGCTGGGAAAAAGCCACCTCTGTAGAGGGTATCAGGGCATAGTCCACCCACCAAACGTACCCATTGCACATTGGCGGACTTCACATATATTCGAAATATTTTTTTTGTTATTATTTTGAAAATATGCAGGCTTCCTCACGATGTTTTCATTCGCCGGTGAACACGTGATAAGAGGGCACTTAAAATCATCTAAAATTAGAGTACAGTGCAAAAACAATTTTAAACAATGTTCTTTCAAACTTTCAAAGCTTAATAGAGCTAATCAACTGATAAAGCTTTATCGCTTTTAAGCGGATCTTTGTCGATGCTTTCTGCGGACGGAATAAGCAAGCATTTTAAAACAAGCTTTAAAAATGCTAGCGGCTAAGCAGTGCTGTCTTCATTGCGTTCGGACCTTAGGTTCGACCCTGATACCTAATTGACTCGTTAATTGGAATTGATGTAAACCGCCCGGTATACGAAAAAAAGTACATCGGAACAGTTTATAGTTTAAGAGTTTTCTTCTGAACTACACTGAACGTACTCTTTTCGATAAATGTACAATTCCTAGCTTCCTAACTGTGTTTATGAATATAGCCAAAATAAGATTTGTTAGTGTTGAAATATAATGAGATTTTTAAACAAACTTAGAACTTTATACTTACACTTATCAGGAACAATCATATACCGCGAAAATAAATGAACACACATATAGAGAGGATTTTGAAATTGTATTAAACATTCACATTCTTTAAACATCAATATTCACCGAGTTATAAATTTTTCCAAAACAAACAATTTTAGAACACCCTTACGTATGAAACTGTAACGTAAAGTTCATTTGTAAAGGTAACAAAGCATATGAATGGGTTAAATGAATTTAAAAGTGATAAACCTACTGTTAGGAGAGACTTGTAACGCGACGGTGTGGCAACGAATGATGAAGTCTCTGAATGTATGAATCAGTCAGTTGTGGTTGTTACAAATTTTGTTTTTCTTTATTTACTTAATTTGTTTGAGAAATTTTTTCTGTGGATTTTTTTCAATTTTGTATTTTTTATGATTATTGGCTAGTAGCGTTAAACGTGTGTTCATTTATTTTCGCAGTTGTAACGACACGCTATATAAAAGAAATAGGTAATACATGGAGGCATAACTTATAAAATAACTTATGTTATTTTGAGTTTACGTATAATGAGTAAGTATGTTTTCTTGTTTCAGTAGTAATTCTTAATGCTTGTTTCGAATTTCAGCTTATAAGCATAAGCCACTTTGCTTACACGTCAGCCCTCAATCTTTTTCCCGAGATGCGGGAGCACGAAGGCCTCCTCAAACCGGATGAACTTAAAATGATCGAAGAACAAGCGAGGCTGCATAATACTGACGCCTACTTGCAGAACTACGTCTTCTTCAAGAAGACCGCTAAAACAAAAATAACCAACTTTTTTCAAGAACTCTTGGATAGTATATATAAAGTTTATTATTATGTACTCTACGTTCAAATCACGATTACTATACAGGTCCAAAAGATCCGCGTTTTACGGATTTTTTACTTAGTACATAAACCCGTTTACAATTATTTACAGCGAATAGCTGTCATGTTATAGGACTCAAGCTTGGTGAAATGTACATATCTCAATAACGTAAACTTCTGCTTTCCCATTATATTTAAAGAGTGTGTGTCTGTACTTCTTGTTTACAAACATTGGTATTGTAAAATATGATCCTTGTATAACAGAATGACAGATGACGAAAAAATATTTTAACTAATTTTTTTTGAGGGTAGCAATCAAGCAAGCAATTGTTTTGATGGGACTTATTGAAAATACTTCCCCAGATGGACCTGCCCATTCGTGCAACAGCGAAGCCACAGTATAATATGTTACTTATAGTTTGACCAGAAAAATAGAACTGTCACCATGTCCCGGAAACGCAACAACCGTTGACACGAAGACGGCGAATGCAGCGTTTACAAAGGACATATTTTCTTTTTCTAGTCAGCCTATACTATATATCTCATCGAGCTCATTTCATTACATTTTCAGATTCATTTATCAACGTGTACAATGATTACAAAAGAAATAACGAAAACTATTACAAATCGTTTAGACAGTTTTACGTTCTGAATAAGATATCCCCGTACTTGCTTATTCCTGTAGCGATCAAACCAGACGGCATTTTCCTCAAGACCTGGGCTATTATTCGAATTTCCTCGGCCTTTATAATGTGTTTATTAATACCGGTAACATGTGCATGAGAGAATATTTGTATTTACGACCAATATCTTATGAATAATATTGCAAACAACGTAATATTTCCAGATCGTTGTTTCAATGGCCCCTTTGTACGGAAATTTTAATACATTATTATTGGTGCTTGAATCAATAGCGTATATAGACATGTACTTGATGCTTCATGTCGCCTTTTACGGCGACAAAAACCAATTGATCTATCATCCGTATTTGACAGCCAAAAATTATATCACAGTGAGTTGTTATTGCCATAGTTGCTATTTTAAGAAAAAAATACTAATCTCTTAATGGTTATGAATTTTTTTCAACAATTCACCTAATTTTTTATTCCTTATTTTGTTCATTTTTTCTCTTATTAATTTTTTTTTAGAAAAACATTGCCCTTGCTTATTTAGGATAACATCATCCTGTGTTGTAAAGACGTTTTACAAACATACATATTACGTGGACAAACACCCAGATGTGAAACAACTATCTTTGTATGAAACAAATAATTGTCCCGTGTGGGGATCGAGCCCAAGACCCCCGACGCCGAAGCCTTGGCAACAACGCCACGGAGTCATTTGCAATTTTTTATTCATTAATGTATGCCATTTATAACTAAGTGTGTAACTAGATGTAGGTATTAGACAATTAAGTAATATTTAAATCCTATAAATAAATAATAAATTAAACGCATAGCGTTAAAAATCAATCACAATTAAAATATCCTTCTTTTGACATGCATAAAAATTTTTGACCTTTTAGCCTACTTTTCTAGCTGATTAAAAATGTGTAAAACTTTCATTATGTGACATAAGATAACAAAATACCCCAATATTATTGTTAAATATTAAAGTCACTTATAATATGTTGACATCCTCGTCTAAGATATTAGTAAATAATACAATCAAATTAACTTGAATTTATATTATTTTATTAAGCGTATATGCAGTAACATAAGCGACAATGTTGATTAATTAGGTACTTATACACCTTTTTCTAGCACACGTTTATAGTGGATTTTCTATCATGTTTCCCTTGGTACGCTTTGTGGAAGATCTTCGTGCCGAAACATGATGAAATGCACACGGAAGAAGAACATCACATTAATAATCATTTCTACCATTGCATTCTGCGGATGGTGAATGTATTGCAAATTCATAAAATGTACGCAGCCTTCTGGACGGAATCTATTGGTGCATTAAAACGGGTAAACTTTATAAAGTATTTACGTTTGTAACAAAATAAGTTGATACAAGACGAAATGGCCGTAATGGAACAGATGGTATTTTTGAACGTTTGATTTACTAAGGTGATAAGTGTCAACCTTGTCGCTGCCACACTTGTGAAGATTCACGTCCATTTCTTTATAACTTCATCTTCCCAAGTCCACAGTTGGGAAGACGGTGACATCGATGGCGTGTTCTTCGCATTGTAGTAAAACTTATGACCAACCAATCGCAAATGTTTCCAGAAATTACAAATCTCATCTAAAATAAGCAAATAAGTCAGCACTTAAGCATTTAAGTCACCAATATTCTTGCATATAATTATGTAGATACAATTTCAATCTTAAACGAGGTTGAGGAAAATTTGGTCCGAGGGAATCCCTGTTCTTGTTCATTTTCTTACACGTTCTGTGGTCTTAGTTACTAAAATAAATAGTAATTTAACACTAAATGAAGGCGCCACTTGCTTCGTCTTAGCTGTGGGACATGACAAGGCTATAATATTTAACGTTTATTCCGCAGTCCGTCGTTTTAAAGATTCACTTAAGAACTAGCTAATATGTTTACAGGCGTATTTAATGAGTGTTGTTCAGTTCATTTTGCTTACAATATTCTTTTTGAATCTTTACACATCGATACTGATCACAACATCCTGCACGTATGTAATAGCGCAGAACCAAAACGAGTTTGAAAAAAAAGTTGATATTTTATCCAAGAAAGGGCCTTTAATGAGCGCAGTATTCAACCCAGACGGAAATATGATTTGTCAACTGGGTGAGGTTTTATCTTTAATTTCTTTTACATTTATATTATTAAACGTACGTAGCACTGTTGTGACTACATATTTGATACTAAATTATCTTTTGTATTATAAAAATATTGTCATATAACATTATGTCACTGGGCGCTCACTTTTAATTCAATTTAATCGACCAACCTGAGTTCAGACTTCGATGCCGTCACCAATGAAATTGTTAATGTTAAGTGCTGATTTATCACTCGCTCAGCGGTGAAGGAAATTATGGTAGGGTAACTCGCATAGTTAGAAATAATAATTTAAAAAAATATTTAAAAAAAGTCCACCAATTTGCACCACCAAGGGACCTCATGGTGGTCTATGGTAACAGCCAGTAAATTACAGTGGTGACAGCCTAGTTGACTCGCCACTGTCCGGTCGTTTACACTACTGTACTTACTCACTGTACTAAACACTTGACCAGCGTCGTGTCGTAAACCGTAAACCGAACCGCAGCGTAAACCAAAATGCAGCCATTTCAGTCCAAAATGGCGGCCGCATTAACCCTATGATATGGGTATGAAATGATAGGGCCTTTTTTTTATTAAAAACTAATAAAAGCTTCTTTAAAAAAATAAGCTTGTCATTGCCAATTATAACTGTGAATATGTTATGAACGGCGTAAAAGCTTTTTTGGTTAGAACGCTCATTTGAATCAGGCTCGTGGTTGGACGAAGCGAAAACGTTCAAAGTCAAGAACCTAACACCGTCGAAGGCGTACCTTTTGGCTTATTATTGGTCTGCAGCGAGTTTTAGCGGCGCCGGCTTCGGTGATATCATTGCCCAAGACACCGCCCACATGATCCTCTCCATTTGCATCAACGTACATGGAGTTTTGTTCTTCGGGTGGGTGGATGTTTTTTTGTTAATTGGGTGTATATTTTATTCGTATCCTTTTTTGGAAACCGTATTAGTGTTATGTATTACGTATAAATTAGAGTCACTGTATGTTGGTTAAATATATCTAATAAAATTGTAAAAGGCTCTTCTTGAAGGAACAAAGAAAGAGACACGATGCCTTTTGGCACTAACAAATAGATCAAGTGAATAACGTCGCGGATAACTAACTAACGTAACTAGTACATTACAATTAATACAGAGATAATATTAGAAAAGCTTCCGTTATAGATATGTTTATGCACGAATGGCATCTTTAAAAGCAATGGCCGATCAAATGGTGACAAACTTTCAAGAAAATTTAAAACATTTAGAGATGTTTCTGAATAGAGAAAAAGTGGCATTTGTGCTAAAGAAATCGGTAATGGACTATTGGAAGTACCAATGGAAGAGGACTGGTGGTTGGTCTGTAAGTATTAAGTTACATAATGTTTTTTATGGCATTGTTATGTTATGTTGTACACTGCTGCGTCTGAGCCTATAAATTTCTGATAAATTTAAATATTTTTTACAACAATTTATAAATATGTGATTATACTTTTCACTTATCTGATAAATGTCGTCAATTATAAATTATGTAAACTAAAACATATAATTTATAACGATATAAATTATTCCGAAAAAGTTCTTTCATGACTTCCATTTTAGTATGTCGACTGTCATACGAAGCGTTTGATAAAATGTTTAGGTCGTAAGCCACATGTATTAATATTATTGTATGTATGTATTACTAATTCCTAAACGTGGGAGGCGTAAGGTATACAACTTTTGGTTTTGTTTTAGAAAATTTATTTTATTTTTTCTATTTAGCATCAAACAATACTCGGGAAGTTTCATTCTAACCTGAACGAAGACGCCGTGTTATACATGTATGAGAAAACATTAAGAGAGATACCCTTATTCGAAAACGTCGAATATTCCTTCTTCAGAGCTTTTGCGAAGCAATTGCAGGAAAAATACTTCCAAAAGGGCTACATGGTGATGAAGGCAAACGAAGTTATAAGCTCCATGTATATTATTTATAGAGGAAAAGTAAGCATGCTAGTATACTTTACTCATTTCGTATTATTTAAGAGCAATAATAACAAGAAATAATAAGTCTAATGATATGCCATCACAGAAAAGGCATTTATTTAGTTCCTAACATGAATAACATGCTAAATCAAACCATTTTTCCGAAGTAAATAGTTTTTACCAAGCTTTATTGTATGTTGTTTTTGCGGATTAGGTACACAGAGGACATCGAAATATTCCACGTCTTTCGCATTAATATACACGTAGGTACCTTACACGATCTACACTATACTTGTTATAGAGAAGTACCTATTAATAAAACAAAAGTGGGCCCTCACTGACCAGATGCACTGCTGACTGAAAGCATGGGGTTCGACTTCCCGATTTATTGTATCAGCATATGTTGCCGCGTGGCCACGTACAGTACAAATTATACTATTTCATATTTACCTTAGTGTAGTGAGACAAGGGATAACAATAAAATAAATAATAAAATAATAAAATTAACTCTAATTGAGATTAGTCCATGTACATTAAGGCATGGATGGAACAAATTAATAAAACGACTTCTCAAGGTTTAGGACGGGGTTAATGAAATGATCTTAATTCAATTAATGACGGTTACTTCAGTTTTTTTTTCTAATGTACACTGATATATTGCCACCGTAGGCTCCACTCTATAGTACATGTTTATTAATCGACATGTTTATAATTTTGGCTTGAATATATACTTACCTACTACCCACATACGACTAGACAATAATACGCTCATTTAACTCCTGTCGCACTAAAATAGATGCCAGCATCATTTTTCAAATACGGTAACTTGTTTTCCGTATAATATAGATATAATATATTAGAGCTTAGGCTGGCGGTAAATATAGGTTTAATTATACTTCATCAGACTAAAATATAATTAATAATTTTGAAATGCAGGTAGACGTAATTTCGGATAGCAACGAGGTGGAAGCGTGTATGGGGCCCGGTGGTATATTCGGCAACATACGAGGCGCGTTGAAGTACCAAACGCTGTCGAATGTTGTCGCTTCAAGAAATATAGATTTACTGAGCATTCAAGGCACTGACTTCTATGCTATTTTAAGGGTACGTGAAAACAACATTATCCCCGATGAGTGTACGTTAACACGAAAATTGATTGAAACATTTGATAGAACTTGCGCCTTTTCAAAACATCTGTTTTGTATATTCAACTTTAATGTTAGGCGAATCCGTCAGATCTTTTCTTTTCATGTGGACAATTGGCGGCACCAGCGGAATTCTTAGCCGCATTTGGCGCCAAACTTTAAAGTCAATTGGAATCCTGTTAACGAGTCTATCTCAAATGAACCAAAGAACCGGTCAAACAATTTTATTTCTTCAACCTTAAATAGTTACATTGTATTGTTTAGCATTCTAATAGAAGGATACAGAAGATATCGTGCTTAGTTAAACAAACATGTTGTTCCTAGAGTTATCCTTCGGTATTGAAGAAAGTACAGGCGTCGTTCAGTACGACAACCAAAGATTACGTGTTGCCAACAACAGTGTCTGAAAGGACGAGTCTGGAAGTAAGTTTACGCTTTCTTATTAGTAATTGCTAATGCCTTCGTAATTAGTGTATTGTAAGACGGTGGTAGGGCTACGCAGCAGCCTCGGCTGTTGAACGAATGGGCAGGCTCGTCCGGGTAAGTAGGTACCACGATCTCACAGAAGACCGGCGTAAAGTGGAAGTATAATACTTTTCTGTCTCGCCTGGAGAGTGAGGTGGCCGAAGCCCAATTTTCAAAAGGTTATCAACGCATCTGGAACCCTCGGGTGTAGCAGATGTCCATGGGTGGCGGTAATCACTTAACATCAGGTGAACCGTCTGCTCGTTTGGCAACTTTTCGCATAAAAAAATAAAAAGCATGACGAAAGGAAACTAACTAAAATTTTTATTCCCTGTCCCTGTACCTTAAATGCAATTGATAAAGGTTTAATTAAATAACTTGGGATTATCGGTAAATTTTAAAAGTTGTTATTGGATGCCATGGTAATTTCGTGAAGTTTGTCGCTTTGCAATTTTTTGACCGTCGGTGTGCGCACGCTATCTCTTATTTTTTTCGCAAACACGCCACAAGAAGTATAACTTCAAAAAGTAATTAAAAATGAAGGAATGGTAATAAAAGGGAATTAATTAAACATATTCTTTCATCATCATCATTTCAGCCTGTTTGCGCCCACTGCTGAACATAGCCTCCCCCATAGACTGCCACGAAGTACGATACATAATATAAATAAAATACAAAACATAGGTATTCTTTTTAACTTACAAAAATATCTTTTATTACTATTTTACAAAATATGACCAAACTTGTTACACGAATACACATGTGAATATGAGGGTACCTGAAGCAAAAGCGTCATGACGGTAAAAATGTTCCATTGTCGCTTTAGCATTAATTCGCCAAGTGAGCATAACGTACATTAAGTATTGTCGTTACAATACCAACGTTTAATTTAGAATTTGTGTATTTGAACCATAAAATTTGTAGCAAAAATGATGAACCAAATTATATCTTTATGGTAATTAAATACTTTACAGATGCAGCCGTTTTCATTGACGTACGAGTCGGGTGCGGATGAAGACGATAATGCAGACTACAATATCAACATCGATGTAAACAGTTTTCAGTAAATTACAAGTCATTCACACATTAATAACTTTGTTACCAATTTTTTTTTTAATTTTATAGCTGGTGTTTGCACTTAAAGATTATTTGTTAAAGATGAAGCGTAACATAATGCGCGGCGTTTAAAAATTGTTACGCTTTAAATTATATGACATATATAAATTAATGTGACATGATATAGACCGTATGACAAGGAAAGAGATTTGCAGTCTATAGAACCGCAATATAATTACACCAATTGGCGTAAAACAACGTTTCGGTGCGCTCGTGTCATATCTACCTCCCAATTGAATGTAATATAACTGGCACTTAAGATAAAACTTTAAAAATGTGTAGATAAAACTATCATTATTTTGGCAGAATTCGAACTGTGCCTTCCGGATTATGCGTCCAGACGCTCTAGCTAAGCGTCTAAACTCTACAGCCTTATGTACTTTGTTACATTTCTAATGTTACATTGTTTCTGGCTAATAAGCATGTCATACCGTTGCAGAGTCCTGAAAAAAGCATAGCCGGATCGCACGGCTCCAGGTCGTTTATGTCAATGAGCAATACCGAGTATGTCCCAGCAAGATTGTTACTATTCACACCACACAGGTTCGTAATCGTGACTATAACCTCCAGTAAATAGTATGTTATGTACATATGTAGTAGGCGAATGCATTATAAATAGAATAGTACAAAAAAGACAGAAAAATAGTGTAATAAGTAGAGTAGTCCTAATTTACCGGCATAGGGCGTACAATATTTTTGGTTTGGTAAAGTTCTTTTTCATTTGTTTTATATTTTAATTATGTATTTGTGTTCTTTTGATTTACTGAATTATTTATAAGTATTTTTTAAATTTATATTACTTTTTTTAATTTAAGTTTTCTTTCTCTTTTAAAATAAATTACGCAAATATACGCAAACTGAAACATCATTATAAATTCAACCCAAAATACATAATTCACTGACCAGCTGAAAAACGGCAGCGTCGTCGCAAAAACTACTTACATAAGTAATTATCAACAATGCATTAAAATGCAATGAAAAATGCAAGCATTCACCGCACCGAAATTTGTTGGAAAAAGCAATATTTTTTCACCTTGACCAAAGTATATCACAACCAACATAACTATGGGTTTTCAATTAATGTTTTAACCCTTGTGGCACCTTGTATACACTTATATATATATATATATATCTCTTTTGAGGGATACTTACTAGTGACGTCAGGTTAGTGAAAAAAAAACGTATCCAAAAGGATCGACCACCATATTGATCTGAGTATAATCTCAAACAGGAACTTAGACGCCCCAAACTAGAACTAAAATATCTTATATCGAAACATCGACAGAGCCATCGTACAACGGCTACGAGCAGTCAGCGTGGAAAATAATAAAATGTCTATCCAGATCACCTGTCGAAGGCGAACCGTGTTATCCAACATTTATTTTACAAGACGCTACGCCAGAGTCAACTTCATCACCCTTAACCACCCACTTCAGGTAGTGCAAAATAAGTTCATCTTAGAACTTATTCTGCAATACCTGAAGTTTCTTGATTAAAGAAAAATGAATCTGCCAAGACTGCAGGTTCCCGATATAAATTCATATAATCATATCATTCTGGTGGTAAACGCAGCTAAATTTCAACCGGGCCGTAACGAAACCGATGGCATCAGTCGCCCTCTTTTCGCCCGCGGGAGGAGACGAAAATATTTCGGAGCCAATGGGGATTCCATCTAAGACTACCTACACATATACACGCATTAATAACGTTGAATAAACGTTTCTTCTTCTTCTTCATTAATGTACAACATACTTTAGTTCGTCCCCAACTTAGAGCGCGGGGCGCGGAGAAATCAACACATCATGTACACAAGGTACACTCGGGTCCCGGGGCGGTTTACACAGCACGCAGCGAAAGTCCGCAACGATATTACGCGCCGTATGGCAGACCCCGACGGCCCGTGCACATAATCCCCTCATTAATTCACTTGCGTCACTGCTTAGGGTCTATCTAGTCTCGAGGAAACGTAGCTTATCCGATGAAACTTTTTATATATTCTATGGACTGAGAGCGCAAACATCTATCAAGAAAAAAACAAATAAGAAGGTGAGGGATTCTCCTCTCTCTTCTAAGAATGTGCGTGTGCAAATCTATTTCTAATGGGGTCTTACACACTATGTCGGCGGTACAGCCGATGGGTTTTTGCCGCCGGCATAATCAAGAAGACTTTATTTTTCGCAGAACATTTTGCTTACCAAACTGAGCCGGACCATACCAGCGATTCGTTTATGCGGCAAGCATAACGGCTGCAATACCCGCCGGCATAGTGTGTAGGAGCCATTAGGTACGCTGCACACTCTATATTCCGATAAAGTATTAAAAAGAAGAAATGGTTGCTTCCGCCCTGTTTCTGTATGTTTTCATGCAAACGAGTAATGGGATTAGTCTTTTTCTTTAATCAATTTATTTTCAGATGGTTCCGCAGTAGCGTTGTGCCGGACTCCAAATTCGTAACATTCATGGGTAAATATCCGAATATTCTAACGTCGTAAATGAAAAATAAAACGATGGATAATAATGATTATCCATCGTAAAAAATTCGATGTACGCCATAACGATATTTTCCGGTTTATTAAAATCAACGGCTCTTTTAAGTATCGACCCCGAAATCATCGATAATGGCTTTTGCGCTATTAAATAATCTCAGTATTTGTCTCATACGATAGCATTTGCTAATATGTTAGGCATCACCCAGTAGCATCCGCTGTTGCACAAATGGGTAGGCTTAAGCGAGGAAAGAGTACGGGCACCCAGAACACCGGCGTAATGTGGAAGTAATATAGTTCTGCGTTTCGCCTGGTGAGTGATATAAAGGAGACCCAATATTTAAAAGGTCATCAAGGTCGATGGACAACAATAATCACGCTCGCCTGCTCACTGGCAACTTTCTACAAATAAAAAAAATAAAAAAATATCTTTGACCATTCCAGACTACTTAATCATGTTCCTCTCATATGTGGACTTCATGATACTCGTGTACCAAATGGCTTTTATGTCAAACGAGTACTTCTTTTACATTTGCATTGTATTTGACATCGTCTTCGCGTATAAGATATTCCTGGATATGCACACAGGCTATACTAATCGATACGGAGACTACGTTCTTAATCCAAAAAGAGTGCGAAAGATGTAAGTAGTTATATAATCATCGACATGTAACATTGTGCAGTTTCATCAATAACTTTCTTTCGATGATGATAGTGCGGAATTTATACAGCAGGAGTGACCAACTTTTTTTTAAAATAAATCAAAACTTTTTTGTTGTACGATACATTACCACAAATGGTTCATGGTTAAGGTGGATAATGTGAGTCGTAGATAACTGTTCTATTTCAAAATGTAGTCTCATCAGTTGCGATGATAAAACATGAGTTGTGGTCGACTAAAATTAGCATCATGATCGATCCATCGATCAATTTGGCTGGTTGGCTACCCCTGCTATACTTAATAAGAGACTTGTGACTTAACACTCAAGAAAAAAGATACTGTGTTCCTTCTAATGAGTTTTCATCCAATCACATTACACTTGGGCTTCAATAACAAAGAGTCACAATTAAAACTAAAAAAAAAGAGTATATGTATAACTGTAATTATTTCAACACAAGTAATACTTATTGTAATTTTAACAACATTTAAGCAATCCGAACAATTTCCTTTGGTATTTTTCAGGTACTTTTCCAAAGTATACCTAAGGAGGCGCGATTTTCTATCGGTTTTTCTAATAAGTTATCTAGCTTTTGCGATGAAATTGAATCCTAAAATGCAGAATGCGCTCTTCTGTTATCTTCGGACGCCTCAGCTGTTCAGGATAACTTATCTTTTCACGTACAGACAACACAGGAAAATATCCATCGGTTCGGCCAATTTGATTCTGAAATTAAAGTAAGTGAATAATTAATCTCTTAAACTTAAGTAAGAATTTTATAATTTACGACTCAAAATATGATTGAACGGATTTGCATATTACTTTATTTTAATAAAAAAAAATTGTCAAGACGTCACGTATGTTGATATTGAAATTACGAAGTTTTACATTATGTAAACTACTTTGTCAGCTGAACTGAAAATCATAAACAATTTACGCTTGGTTACGTTGTGGTCGATAGGACGACAAACATATATTTACCCGAAACTCTGAAGAAGTACAGTAATACTAAACTGTAAAAAAATATCAATGTTTTCTTTCGGTTTCCATCGGACAAAGTGGCAAAACATCAGACATTTTACAGGATGTTTAGTGATTACCGCCGTCCCGATGCAGATGCATTGTCAACCTTTAAAAAAATTGACCCAGACCACCTCTCTTTCCTATTATCTGTATGCATTGAATTCTAACACATCATATAAGCAGTAGTAATTATCAATTCAAAAATCATAAAGCTGGGCTTCGGAAATCATCTTTAGCTAATAAAAGCAAATGCTCATTTTAAGCACGATCGCAATTTGGGCGTCGATATTAGCGCACGTGAATGCGTGCCTCTTCTTCAAGTTGTCTTGCTTGACTCCGATGCATTGCACCTCGGCTAATTGGATATCCAAAGACGAATTGAATTTGCGTACACAGTACTCGGAGGTAAAAAGTAAAAATTAGATACGAAATTTATTCTACATTTGTATTAACTTACGAATTTGACTAGATGACTCTCGTTATAAAACCGTGGTACTTACGGTGGTAGGGCCACGCAGCAGCCTCGGCTGTTGCACGAATGGGCAAACTCGTCCGGGTAAGTACCACGACCTCACAGAAGGCCGGCGTAAAGTGGAAGTATAATACTTTCGCGTTTCGTCTGGTGAGTGAGGTGGCCGGTTCCAAAAGGTTGTCAAGACATCTGGAACCCTCGAGTGTAGCAGATGTCCATGGGCGGCGGTATTCACTTAACATTAGGTGAACAGTCTGCTCTTTTGGCAACTTTTCACATAAAAAAAAGATTTCTCCCTTAACAGATAGAGAAAACGTATTAAGAGTTTAGATTTTTCATCTTAAAAACATTGCCCTTGCTTTAGGATACAATTGTCCTGTGTTGTAAGGGTGTTTTACAAACACAAAATTTCACGTGTACACACACCCAGGACCCTATTTGTGGGTCACACAAATAGTTGTCCCTGTGTGGATCGAACCCACGACCCCCGATGCCGGAATTATCGGATTGCATGGTTGGTGCAAGAGCTTAGGCAAACATTGTTGTTCCTATTTGAGTTACGAGTGTGTGAGTTGTAACATTCGTAGTGCGGGGGTCGTTTTAAACATTAATCAGTATCATTTGTTGAAGATAGGAAAGTGCTATTCAACTTGAAAATTAACATTTTCATCATTACAAATATAGACTTTATTTCTAGTCACTCAAGTAGTCAATCAAAAGCACCTTTTATCAATGTGTTCACCTTTTTTAATTCTTCATCCACTTAATTCAATTAGATTGAAAATATTTAACGTATGTGTAAAGAAACACAGCTACTTGACGGCAAATTTTTGTCTCAGGGCAAATATTTCTCACTGTACATCACATCTTTATGGTACATGATAAACCTGCTGACTATAACTGGCACTGGAGATGTATCGTCGCAAAATGATTTCGAAGTCATTGAAACGATTATCATCATAATAATCATCAAATTTTGTACAGGTAATTATTTTTATGTTAACTTAAGACGAGACTCATAGGTTTTCTGATGCAATGATTGGCTTAAATTTTTAAATCAACCGTCGCTATTTTAAAATGATATACTTAGGTTTGCCGTCATGCGCACATTACGGAAAAATTACAATATTTCAAATAATTCTTCTAAGTTTTATTTATAAGACATTACCTAGGCCATTATCAAAAACATATTGTAATTTGTAAATACTTAATTTAGTATAAAGTTATTAAAGTTTTAAGGAACAACGATTTTAAAAGCACTACGTATTCATAGATGTGTGTTTTCTTGCCGTGGGGAAGCGGTGTAGTTATTAACATTAGGTCCTTACATATGAAATTGGCGTTTTGTACGGGATTAATATAAAGTATTTTTTTGTAAAATATATTTAATTGATCTAAGTATGCACCGTTGGTAATTCATTGATCCCTTTACTAAAAAAACCATGGTAGCGAGAATCAATAAACTCTTTGAAGGCGGTTTGGATTGCCGCATCGGAGTTCAATTTTTTTTCCTTGAAAGAAGTTGACCAAAATCCGGTATCAAAATGGTAATCTCGCAAACATTCCAGATGTCGCAGACATTCCAATTGTACCTCATCTTACTAAGTGGTTGATTGTTGTGCAGTGTGTGGTCTTGCGTTGTCGTGAAGCAGCAGTGGCTTAGAGCGATTGACCTATCTCGATTGTTCAGCAGCTAGTTATTCCTTCATGGTTTGCAGTTTCTGACAATAGATATCTGCCGTAATCGTTTGGCCAGATTTTAGACAGCTGTAGTGAACGACACCGGCGTTAGTCCACTAAACACTCACAAGTAACTTTTCACGAGTAAATTTTCGTTTAGGGCAGGTTTTGGCTGGGTCTCCAGGGTTCAGCCATTGCGACGAGCGACTCCCATTATCGTACAGTACTTTTCATGATTCGATTTAAAATCCTTTTATTATTTTGTCGGTTAAGCAAAGTAACACAATAGTCGACGGGTGTTTGCAAGTTCGTTTCCACTCAATTCATGAGGTACCTACCTATCGTTCAAGTTTTTTCACTTTCCCGATTTGCTTCAAGTGGATTAATACAAATTTTATCACTTACCCCGAAGCCTGCAGCTATCTCTGAAGTGCTTTGTGATGGATCCGCTTCCACAATAGCCTTTAATTCTTCATTTTCCACTTTGGCCTCCGGTCCTCCACGGGGTTGGTTCTGAAGGTCGAAATTTCCAGAACGAAAACGTTGAAACCAAAAACGTACCGTGCTTTCTTTTGCGACACCAGCGCCGTACACATCATTAATCCTTCGAGCTGTTTCTGCAGCACTGGTGCCACGGTAGAACTCGTACTCGTAAATATAGATACCAATATTTTAATGTTTTCCATTGTGCGGTAATAAGCGACGCCAAAGAAAAAAATGATGAGGAAAAAACAAATCAAAACTCACATTTACCAGTTAAATGAATTTATAAATTTGAAATTGGAATTCTTAACCAAATAGGAGATATTTCAGATCAAAGTGGTCAGTACGATAAAACGCTAATTTCATATAAAAGGATCTAATATAATAAGCAACATAGATTGAGGCTGGTTTTAGTAAAAAAATAAACTTAGCCGCCAGTGACCGCTGCTTCATGCGACCATGTGTCCCTACGCTCGAGTAGATAACGTCATATCCGGTATACAGTGTTGCCAGCGCCAACAGGTCTTTTGAAGTTTATTAAGTGGCATGCTCGTGCCATAAAGCTATAACCGAACCACCGTCGTAGGCTTGTTGATCTCGGAGATGTCGGCGATGATCACGGCGCACTCGTCGTCGCGTATCGCATACGATTACCAGATAAACGAGCTGAAGGACGGCCTTCGGGACACCGATCTCAGCGATCACCAAATGAACAAGATGTGGGACTACGTGTGCGAGCTATGGAACCGGCAGCAGGGGAGACAGGTATATTGAGTAAAGAGGTACAGCTATCCGAGCTAGGTGGGGTTGGTACAACATGTGATACATATTGTTATTGGTATTGGCCATACAGTTATCCCAGCTAGGTGGGTCGGCAAAACATGTGATACATATTGTTATTGGTATTGGCTGTACAGTTATCCCAGCTAGGTCAGATCGGCACAACATGTGATACATATTGCTATTGGTATTGGCTGTACAGTTATTCCAGCTAGGTGTGGTTGGTACATGTGATACATATTGTTATTAGTATTGGCTGTACAGTTATCCCAGCTAAGTGGGGTTGGCACAACATGTGATACATATTGTTATTTGTATTGGCTGTACAATTATCCCAGCTAGGTGGTGTTGGCACAACATGTGATACATATTGTTATTGGTATTGGCTGTACAGTTATCCCAGCTAGGTGGGGTTGGTACAACATGTGATTCGTATTGTTAATGGTATTGGCTACGATCTTTATTACAACCGGCCGCCTGCCTGACAACCCTCCTTGGGAATAAGCATCTAGTAACGGTAAATGTTATAAATAAAATAATAAATATTTTAGGACACATTTTTAAACAACGTTATCTAGTCCCAAACTAAGCAACGATTGTACTATGGGTACTAGATAACTGATAAACTTACTTTTATTTTGTTAATAAATACATATTATAAATACATAAACACCCTGGAAAAACACTATGTTTATCACACATTTTCCAGCAGTGGGGATCGAACCCACACTCTCTGGCGCAAGAGGAAAGTTCATTACCCATTACTTTTTATATTATAAATATAAAAACCGCTAAAAATGGTAAATATTGTAAATAGAAGCTATTACTTAAAACATTTAAAAGGCTATCATTTGGTTATTTAAGCCGAAACTTCATCGAGATTAAGAACCAGCAACGAAGTTTAGTGGCTGGAACGTCCAGCTTATATTTGATTTGCATTCAACCTCTGAAATAACTTTTTCCGTTTTTCCGACCCAAAGGCGTATTACAACGTGAGATATATAAATATGTCATTAATGCTTTTTACAGATGCCGGAGTTGGTCTACCAGCTGCCATTTCGTCTACGCTGCCAGGTGATGCAGGCGGTCTACGGATGCCACATACGGGAGTCCGTCATATTCAGCAGGACGGATGACGACTTCAAGCGGATGTTGGTCATGTGGATGAGGCACTGCGTGTTCTTCCCCGGCAATTACATCGTCCAGAGGGGCGACTCTGACCAGTGCATCTACTTCATACACAGGGGCGAAGTGAGGACTGCAATCGATATTCCTACTCTAATTTGTTTTGATCTATATTAAGTAGGTGGTAGGTCCAGGGCCGGATTTAGGGGACGGCAACCGAGGCAACAGCCCCGGGGCCCCAATAGCGACTTCGGAAAAAAAATTCAAATTCAGACTAGTAAATAATAGTAAATAGCTTTATCTTTCATATTTTTTTTTCGCGATTTACTTTTACCTACAGTACTTTGTACAAACATGATTAAATTAAATATTAAAAGAAATGAATAAAAAATAATTTTGGGGCAAGGGGCCTCCACTCCTTTGTTGCCCCGAGGCCTCCAGACCTCTGAATCTGGCCCTGGGTAGGGCCACGCAACAGTGTTTGCTGTTGCACGAATGGGCAGGTCCGTTCGTGTTAGTACCACGACCTCACAGAAGACCGGCGTGGAGTAGAAGTGTTGCACTTCTGCGTTTCGTCTGACGAGTAGGGTGACCGGCGCCCACGTTATTAATAGGTGGCATCTGCAACCCCACGGGTGTTGAAAATTATTATCCTCACCATCATATCAGTCTATTTTAGTCCACTGCTGTGCCTTTACACTGTGGTCGTTATAAATTAGTAAACATTATCACCACAATAATCTACATGGTTTCGCAATTGCGCAAATCTAAAGAAATCACAAAAAGACTAATACGTCTACCTCATAATGCAGACCTCTCTACTTTACATTCTACCTCTAGGGTGTTATGGAGTACTTAGGTCTTCTACAGAGTAAAAAAAGCTTTGTAGTCACAGTAAATAATTGGAAAGGATGAGTCAAGCCTTTTTCAAAAGGACCACCAAAATTACCGCCTTATTAAAATTTAAGTATTTTTATTGTCAAGGCAAAAAAAGTAGTAAAATCGCTTACCACGTTTTTGCCTAAATCTCGCAGTTCTCGACTAGTTAATTTCGCCGTTATTTGTTTAGAACTAAAATTGTAGGTTGAAGTGTTGACTGTGCACCAGAATTTGACAGAGTCAATATACGACATTCTGGGTCCCGAAGATAGTTTTGGAATAGCGCAGGTACGAATGCTGATATTTTACATAATAATGTTAATGTTTAGTAAGGCTTATTAAAAATTCTAGTATTTTTAAACGGTTTTATTTAGCTCGACCCGTACGGAATTTGTTTGTTTATTTATTCGGGTCAAAATTAGAAATTGAAATTTAAGCACCTTGCCGTTGTCAGATTGATCTGAAATTTGGTACACACATTTAATTTAGATGACAATACAATATTAACAAAAAAAATTTAACAAAAAAAAAAACAAAATAAAACCGTTGAACTTAAAAGTTTTTTAAAGTAATTATTGCTAACATAATTATAGAATACATACTTAGAATAGAATTGAAATATATAGATTTTTTCTTTTTTTTTACTAGTCAAAAACAAAATTAGCACTAATTTTCGTTACCGATTTAATAATTTTAAGGTAAGAGGCAAGTTCTCTTGTGTTCGTTTAAAGTGTGTATATTTTCGAGGGCAGTTAACTTTTGCTGAGTTACTGCACAAATAATTCTTCAGATGATTCGAAGCTAAAGTTAATTAATTTTGGCGATATTGGAATCTAATTAGCCGTTTTTATAATTTTTTACGGTTTAGATATTGTTTTGAAACTCATGAACATTCATATTTTTGGTGTGATAAGATTGATTGATCGACAATTTTCTTTTTAATATAAAATTAAAACTATCAACTTTTTCACTCTATGATTATGAAGCTAACGATAGAGATGTGGTTAGTGTTAGTCAAACTGTCACTCCCTACTGTTAGAATTCTGCCGAGTTACAAGATCTATACGTAAGAGCGTGTACCAACCTAATACATAATAATATACATAATAGTATATACTTCGAACGTGAATAGTAACATGAATACTAAATGTAACAAGTTTAGGTATTCTATCGGTTTTTCAATGTTGAGTTTCAATTCCCGACGTTTCGAACCCTTTTCACTGTTCATGGTCACGTGACAGACTGTTTATATGACGCTGTAATGCCCAGTTTCCGAAAGGCCAATCAAAGCAGCAATCACATAACACTATGACAAAAATGATCATATGTTAATCTCTTGTTAAACTGCCTTGGGTTTCTGGAAGGTATGTTCAAGAAAAATTAGCTAATCACTGTATAAACAATGATAATGAATGAAATGAATGATTTACTTCAACTAACTCTTTCTGTTGTATAGCTGTCCCTTTTTAAACAAAACTTAAATTAACGTCACTATCCAGTCCTGTCACCGTGTGACTGCCAACGTAAAAATCCGACCTATAATAAAATTTATTATAATAAAATTTATATACATGCAAAATGTCAAAAAAAAAAAACTTTACAGAACGTGAAAAAAATGAACTATTATCCATAATAAACAAGTAGGTATTATAAAAAGAAAGAATCCATATTATTTATTAACTTTTGAATTGCATTTTGTATTTTTTCTAATCACATGATATGTTCGCATAATAATAAATAATAAATAGGTAATAGAACACATGAATGTCCTAACAACTTATTAGGGAATTACGTTTATTTTTAATAAAAACTAAGATTTTTGATAAATAACATTTTTAACCAACGATTGATCGTCCAAATTGACAGATTACTTAATAAAACTTTTGACAGCTCGTTGACCACCAAAAAAACGCTTTCAGAAACTCGATTTTCTGTTGATTGTCCGTTAATCAGTGACTAATTGCAAATCAAAATCAATGTTGTTTAAGACGTTCTAGCAACTCAGATCATGTTAAACAACGATTGACAAGAGATTTATCGTAAATTAAAATTGATTGCGCTTTCGGAAACTGGGTGTAAGACGCGTTAAAATCTGTAATCTACATTTAACATGTATACTATTCCCGTTAAATCCAGAAATCAACATTGTTAAATAAAAGTAAAGTAAAGTATCAGCCTATACATGTCCCACTGCTGGGCAAAGGCATCCTCTGTACAGGGGGTATTAGGGCATAGTCCACCACGCGGCCCCACTGCGGATTGGCAGACTTCATATACCTAAGAAATATTTTTTTTCTTATTATTTCGAAAATATGCATGTTTCCTCACGATGTCTTCCTTAACCGCTGATTCCGCACTTAAAATTAACAATTTCATTGGTGCCGACTGGTTTAAAGCGAGCGCCCGGACACAGAGCTATCACGGCTCTAAATATATAATAAAAAATAATAATAAAAGTAAAGTAAAGTTAGAAATTAAATTGATATTATTATTTATCAACACGAATAAGTTTTAATACTTTCGTCGCAGGGTTTGTTCGTTGGTGTGCAGCATCATTTCTCGTTCCGTGCGCGCACCGTGGTGGACGTGGTCTATTTAAAGCTAGATGAGTGGAAGTATTTGCTCGATTTTTATCCGAAATCGGCCAAACTCGTGAGGAAAAAAGTGGAGAATGTTTACTTAGCGATTTAAGGCTCAATCTTTTGTTAACTATGTCACTAGTGTATTAAATTAAATAAATAAAAACATTTAATAAAAACTTTGCTGGAGTTTGTTAATATCATTTCTAAAGAGGATATTTTATTATATCTGAATGATGATACCTAAATTACCACACAGATATAAAATAGGTACAATGTATTTTCTCTTAATATATTTCTCTTCAACAGCGTGTGGTTACAACCGCGACAATAAATGAACACACGTCTAACGCTACTTGCCAATAATCATAAAAAAATATAAAACGTTAAAAAAGTCCATAATTAAAAAAAAATATTTTTAAAAAATATTTATAATTAAAAACTAATTAAATAAAAATGAAATAAAATTTGTAACATCCTATATAACTACTACTGACTGATTCATACATTCAGAGATTTTTTCATTCGTTGCCGTAGCGTCGAATTACAAATCTCTCCTTCTAACAGTATGTTTTATCTCTTTTAAATTCATTCAACCCATTCATATACTTTGTGACCGTTACTAATGAACTTTACGTTACAGTTTTTTATACGTAAGGATGTTCTAAAATTGTTTGTTTTCGAAAATTTAATAACTCCGTAAATATTGATGTTTAAAGAATGTAAATGTTTAATATAATTTTAACAAGTTATCCTCTATATGTGTATTGATTTATCGCGTTAATAGCTACACGCTGTATATATATAATACAGTCAAGGATATTAATATAGATTATTTATTTTTCTTTTGGAAAAATATGAAATCTGTATTAATTTGTACTTTAAAAATCCTTACTATTAAAACTTACGACAACTATTTACAACTGTGCAGATCTTTGGATTAGGAAAACAACATTTGGTTTTTAAATAAATAACATAGGTAAGTAAAAATTAACCATTCAAAAGGTAATGTACATTTGTCATAATTAATTATTATTAATCATACATTAGCTGTTGTCTGTCAATGATCTACTTATCAATAAAATAAAAGAGGCTTACATTGTTGTGTCCTTCTAGTGCTTTATTGTAAGTTTGCTTTGATATCAAAAGTTACAAATTAAATAATGTTGTTCAACTAATACCAAAGGTTAAAATATAGAGGTACAGTATTATATCCAACCTTCTATATTTCAAAGTCTTAGTCACTAGTTTTCTTGTCGTTTCCTTTTTCGTGTAACTCTCTGCGATATCTCAGGTATGATTTCCTGTGTGCCCTGCTCTTCCTCTATCGATGAATCTTCTTGCGTTTCCCTTTCAACAACGGTATCATACACTTCTGATCTCTGTGTCTGCTCCAAGTTTTGTGTTTGCATTGACCTTAAAATTAAATATATACAAAAATAAGAACAGATTGTAAATTATATACAAATACTTGCAAAATCCGATAGGCATCCCACCACTGTGGAAGTATTTTATATTGATATGGCTGTAAATGGACGGTTGATCCATGCCTCTATGTCTATTTTGCAGATGAACCATGAGATGCAGGAAAGTTTTAAGTTTATCAAAAAATTCGCCATACAAGGCATACATGTATAATTTAATTTAAATTTAAATAACTTAATTTAACTTAAATTTAAGTTGTAATGTTAACATTAGGTTTACCATGCTAGAATATGTTAAATTACATATTGTGGAAAAAATACACTGAAATCACTTGTAGAATAATAAAGTGTTGTCACTTTAGATAATAAAATAAATGTGATCAAATATATACTAATACCAACCGACCAGACGATAGTCTCACTGCTGCGCTGGTTTTTCTATGGTATGGCCAAATAGCAGCTTTGGCTGTTGCATGAACGGGCTTATCTAGTGAAGTGGAAGTATTATTCTTCCATATTTCGGCTGTTGAATGAGGTAACCGGAGCTGACTTTTTTAATGGTTGGCAACAAATCTTATACCCAGGCCTTGTAGGTGTCCATAGGCGGCGGTAAGGTAATCACTTGACATCAGGTGAATGGCCTGCTTGTTTGCCAAAGGCCTACCTGTTGTGTTGCGTAATAACAATATATATTTTGTTATTGTTGTTCTATTTTTATGGATATATTGCATTTATTTTTATGCTCATAGTTAAGTAAATAGTTTAATTTAACACTAGTGTAAATATACTTAGATACACTCTGCGCATACTACTCTACACTACATATGGGTGCAGCAAATGGATTTGAGCTGGAGAATGCTCAAGTATACACCTTTTTATTATGCATGGAATACTTTTAATTCAATATTGAATTAATATTGTACTCATTCATATATTCATCAACCTGCCAAGGTACTATAATAATTATAAAATATATTGAAATAATGGTATGCCACATAAATGTCTTGGAACAAAAGTGAAGTAACAGCCTATACATGTCCATTTGCTGGGCAAAGGCCTCTTCTATACAGAGGGTATGGAACAACATTATCCACACATATTTCTATGTAATACTTCATTTAGTCGTTACAATAAATAGTATAAAAAATATACACACCCTTCACAAATTAAATTCTCCAATTGGGAATGAGAAAAGTCTATTTTGCAACAAGGCCACTTTGATATCTTTTCTAAGTATTTGTTTAAACATTGCGTGTGAACAGCCAATTCACAAGCAGGACAGTTATAGCCCTGAAAGAAAATGTTAATTTAACAACTTTTGATTTTGATAGATTATTTAGTAAGTAGAGATAACATACTATTTAATTGTAAATGAAAAGAGTAAGTAATTAGTAATTTTGTTTGCATTGCACCAACAGAACTAAAGTGAAAATTGATTTTAATGAAACTAGCTTGGAGAAACTATACAACGAACCAATGAACTGGCACAGGACAGAAGCAAAGTTATATATGGTCACAATTTTCATTAGTGAGAGAATGACGAAGAAGCAGATATTAATTTTAAGCTTCTAATGTTTCAACTACTTTACAACAGTTATAGTCACAGGCATATTTAGATACTAGTTGCTGCCCGTGACTATTTCAGCGTAGAATGTGTGAAGGTGTAATATTAAGACAGAAAGATAGATATACATAAAATATCGATATAAATTATAGCCTTATTCTGATGTATAAGCTATATTATTGAAAAAGTTTCATTAAATTGCATTCAGTAGTATTTACATGTAAGAGTAACAAACATCCATCCATACATACAAACTTTCTCCTTTATAATATTAGTAAGGATTTAATATCCTGATGTGACTCTAAGCTCAGGTTACTGCACCTCGTAAATTATTCACATATATTTTTTGTCTGATTCAACATGTCCTAAACTAGCTTTTTTTTAAATGTGTACAATGTTGCATAAATAAAGGAAAATCTGTATGCAAGATGGTTATTTAATAATATAGTTGGTAATAAATACCAAACAGACTATAACATTATTATTAATGCAAAATTATTTATTTAAAAACTTTTTTCACAATAGCGTACAATGGCAGACTTAGCACCATAAGGTGTTCTCTACCAGTCAACCGACAAATAAAGGGAGAAAATAAGGAGGTGTGAAAGAGCCAGAAGAGAAGTAGTGAAAAATATGATCTTACATAAAATATTACATATATATACTAATATTTATATAAATAGTATATATACAATAGATAAAAAGTATAGATGGCATGTTTAAAAGTTTCTTCACTTGAACAATTTCTGATAGAGGTGGGTAGTGAGTTCCAAAGCCATACAGCTTGACCTTGAAAGAAGTTGGACATAAAACAGGAACATTAAAGAGAAATTTGAAGGGAGAGATTGTGTTACTTGAGTGATATTCAAGTGTTTACATTAACCTCCCAATACTACTATAAGTGTAAACTCATTACACCGGAAGGTTTTTCCTGAATCTCTTATAAATCTGTAATACAGTAAGAATAATATGAAATATTTTATAAATATCAGATGGCTGAATATGAAATATTTTATAAATATCAGACTGTATTTATCTTTTATAACTTTCCTAAATCTACACCAAACATCTACAGTTATTCTTTAAGTTTGATTTTAAAGTAGCACCAGGTCGTATCTACTTTTCATGTATTATTTGTAACTTTCATAGTTGTTTTAAAGAAAGAAATTACTCATTTTGGACACAACACAAAGCAATTACATGAGTTAGTAACATGAAAGTAAAATATGTAGATAGAATTATAATTAACTTACTCGAAATACAATCTGCTTACACAGGCAACACTCTTCAATGGTATCTGGCATATTTTGCCTTAAATAACTTTCAAATTCATGAATACCTCTCACTCCCAGTGCATAGTTAGTTTCATCTTGAGCCAGGTAATGCATACGACACCAAACATCAAGTAGGTTCTGAAATATTTTAATTAGAAAATTTAAAAAAGAGAAATAATAAATAAAAATTATTTATTGCTTTAAAGTAGTATTTTTTGAGTAAAGGGTTGTTGAGTACCCTCTTTTAAATATAAAGATACCTGTAGTAGAAGTCCTCACTCTTCTGTTATACAAATATGTAATTATTTATATCTAATTAGTGACCCACCCCGGCATTGCAGGGGTTTAATGTATTATACATATACCCCTTCCTTTTGAATCACTCTATCTAATAAAAAAAACCGCATCAACATTCATTGTTGTCAGCAACAGTTTTAAAGATCTAAGCATACATAGGGGCAGACAGACAGCAGGACAACTTTGTTTTTTACTATGTAGTGAATATATGATTATTTTGCTAACAAACATAAGTCAGATATGACAATATCGATTGCATAGATACAAAGGCAGTTTCTTTGATGAACATTGTTATAATAAAAGATTAACATTTGAAAAACCTTTTTTTATATATATGCTTATCTTCTAAATACTTTGTACCTAAATTTTCACAGGATTATTCAAGTTGGTTGTAAATAAATTTAATTGAGTAAGAAACATAATAAAAAAACACCATATAATAGATTGATTATTTAAGCTGTTTCAAGTAATTTACAGATTTTATTAATCACCTGTGCATCTGTCTTGGTGAAAGAGGTGTTCATTTTGGCAACTAAATTTATTGCTTGTATTCCAGTGATTTTCCTACTCGTTGTAGTCATTATTTGCTCTATCAAAATTCTGAAGTATTCGAGTTCAGTTTTGGAAAATACATTTTGCGCCTTTGTAGCATCATCACAGCCAAGGGAAAGAAACACAATAACTTCTTCGGTTGTAAGCTCATCATTAGTTATCTTAACTATTTGTTGAAAAGGTCGTATTTTTTCATTAATGTCCTTAATCAAATCCTTAGGAGTAGTTTCTGCGTTCTCTGGAAGTCAGTTCAGTATAATTGAGATGAAATATTTCAATTTTCAAAAGAAAGATCTTAGTTCTAGTATTTATAATTTGATATGTTCGCTACCTGAAAAGGAATTTAGCAGTTGCTCTGCTTCTTTCATTGAAATTACTCCACGGCTTGCGATCGATCTTAGAAGAAACCTATGTACAGGACCGTAAGACATTACTATTTGATTTAGGTAAAGCTTCACTTTAATGAATAAAAAAGTATTACGAAACTTATTTGCAGTTTTACAGTAACAAATAAACTGTTGGGTTTGGCAAACAAAATATTACGGTATTGCAAATTGCAATTGCAATGCAATTTATTTTGAACAGAATTTGTATTTTGCAATATCAAACAGTGTTGCCATTGCCAAAATTATATGGATAGCCTAATGTAGCCGTAGACGAATTTCAACTGTAGCTTAAAGTAGCCCCAATACGAAAATATCGCTATAATATATATTATAAGGCGTTATTTAAATTAACTTATTTATTTTCATCTTAACGCGTTTCAAATTCACGTTAACCTTTCATAAAATTGCAAAAAAATATTTAGATTCTGCTTCCTCTGTCTGCAATAATATTTTCGCCGTCAACCTCATCTGTGATAATCAATGGCATCAGGTGGCTGCTGTACTACTTCACTTGATTAATGTAAAATGTAAATTAAAAGTGAGGCGTATTAATTGTAACAGGTATCTCGAGATAACAGACTGTACCTGTTACGAACAAACATAAATAACAGTTCCTGTTCCACACAAATTGCTCCTTAACAAGCTGTCACAAACTTTTCTTTCTACATGCTTACGGCTGTTACTTTAGTTAGAAAGAGATAAAAAGTGTTACACCTTTTCACAGTTGTTACCGAACACTGTCATTGTTACGAGCTCTTTCTTTTTCTGGCATCGGTCCTAAAGCGTTCTTAGAAAGAGAGACACGGAAGTTACCATAGAGTAATATACTGTAACAGCCTATGGTAACAGTTAAACAAATTTTCATAACAGGCTCTTATTTTGTAACAGGCATTTATCACTGTTTCTTGTAAAGAACAGGAACAGGCGTAACAGGTACTCGATTTAACCTAATATAGCGCACTCCTAGTGTAAATCGGGGACAAAGACAATTTAGATAAAATTGTCTTTGTCCCCGAGTCCCCCGTTTAAAGGGGCGCATTCACTATCCTGCCTGGCAGTCCGCCGTGCAGTCGTGTGCGTTTATTCACAGGTTTGAAAAAAATCTACACAGGACTAGGTATAATAAAGTATAGACAAAAAGAAAACGTGTGCATCCCGGGACGCCTGACTGATTTGATAACCTTAAAATAAGCTCAAAAACTATTTTATATTGAAATAGTTTAACTTGATAAAAGCTTATGTTATTACTTAAATTTTATGTATATTAGTATGATAATGTGAGGAAAGGTTATTTATTAATAAAACCTTTTATCTAACAACAAGAAAAACTCGCCATTTTCTTTTTTTTTTTTTTTTCAAAATGACACATAAATCCATAATTATTACTACAACAACACTGACACTATAGAGAGACGATGGACGGCTTGCAGGATAGTGTGTGGCGTGTGGGCTACATCCTGCTTTGCAGATCTGCACGGCGGACTGCCAGGCAGGATAGTGAATGGGCCCCTTAACAATGATTACAAAATGACACTTCATTGTATCATAAATTTGGTAACAAAGCCAAAATTCCCTGTATTCCCCGATAATAACCAACCATAAACCTGTAGGGCTGCCATAATTCTTTATTAAAATCATAGAGCTAAGGGAGGCTATGTTTTTTATTCAAAATCAAATATCTTTATTCAACTGATTACTTATTGATAGTCAAAATACTACTACCTATGTTACAAGACATTGTTCATTTGTGATTTGGTATATTTTGTTTTGAAGCATCTTAATAACCAGTCATTCAGATTTTTTCATCGCTGATTCTCTTCCAGAGTAGCATAGATGGCGAAAAATAGCCTAGGTTTGTCACAATGATGTCAAAATGTCATTGTGTCCGTACCAAAAAATATTTATTTTACAATTATTTTCACCTATGTTACAAATGAAGGCAAAAGTCATTTTCTGATTTTTATATTTTTTTCATAATTTTATTTTAAATTAAGTATTTAATATTAACATCAAAGTTTTTTTAATTCAAGAAATGTAAAATAACAAAACATCAGCAAGAAGTAAATATTTTAAGTAGTTCTCATTATGTTTGTATAGGCTTTCTCGTAAAAACTCCAAATGTTACATCATTTCATATTCTCGTTGTACTGCCCTAGATAACGTCCTTCAAAGTCAATCACATCTTGTTGAAAACGTTCATTTCTCCTCTAACCACCAACTTAAAGAAAATAAAAATTGGTGTCTACTTCAACAAGATGTGATAGACTTTGAAGGACGTTATCAAGGGACTTCCCCGGATGGACTTGTTCATTCGTGAACAGCGAAAACTGTTGCGTGGGCCTAAACAGTAATGTGGTGAGCAGCGGAGCCTTAAACTAGGTCCACTATTGGAATCTGGTAGGATTGCTGCTTGTTAGCACTGAATCTCCTAGCTGTCATGGCCTTTCGGTATCATTTAACTACCATGTATGTTTATTTGCCACCATGTATGTTTATTTGCCACCATGTATGTTTTTTGTTTTGTCTCAGTTCGAAACAAAACACAAAAAGAATATTAAAAATAGAATTATACATAATCTCGGACTCACTAAACGAAAACATGATATAATTAAATTAAATACATAGTTCTAAAAATAAACCGTTGCAGTATCTATTCCTAACGCAAATTAAAGTAAGCTGATAACTACACTAAGTTGTTAAATCATTAGCAGTGGAAATTTTGATACAACTATAAATGTGTATGGAAGTTTTAATGGAGTTTTTGCAGTTTGCAACACGGCTCTATTAGACCATCTCTAATAGAGCCGCGTTGCAAACTGCATAACATACTTATTTGTTTAAGCTCTCAGCACACTTTTAGAATTATTTAATCTCGTTTGAATGTAAGAATATGAACTGTAAAAGATTATTAAAGTTCTTTATTATTATTTAGTGAATGATCATTTAGAAATGAAACATAATTTTTATCCTAATTGAATAGAAAAAAAATCAACGTTTAAAATCATCATACATACAGTGAAAGCAATAATGTTTTATTTGCGTTCACTGCATACGTATCGTTCTTTAAACTTGCACTCAAAAAAGATCTTTTGTTGGGTTTCACTATTTCATTCAATCCGTATCGCAGTGTAGCACGGTCCACCACTCGATGAAGTGATGACCTGTGCATAATATGTGCGTGAAGTCGATGAATGAAGGTGGCTCATTGTATTCTAGGAGAAACAGTAAATTTTTATCAGTCTGATATGATGATGACACAGTGACGGCTAAGTTGGTTAGAGCCTAGGGCGGCAGATTTTAGAGGGCGGCAAATTGCCATGGTAATACCACGGTATTGCCATGGTAAGTATGGGGGTTCCACAGGGATCTATTCTGGGGCCTTTTCTCTTCCTCATCTACATAAATGACCTGCCCTATCTTGTAAATAATGATCATGAGATAGTATTGTTTGCTGATGATACTTCTTTAATTTTTAAAGTTAAACGACATTCTTCAAATTATGACGACGTTAACAATACTCTCTCCACTGTAGTGCATTGGTTTAGTGCTAATAACTTAATGTTGAATAGTAAAAAAAACGAAATGTATTAAATTTACAACTCCCAACGTAAAAAGTGTAAAAACTGATGTAGTTTTACATGGGGAAGCGTTAGACCTCATTGACTCGACTGTATTTCTTGGCATAACCGTAGATGCCAAATTGCAGTGGGGCCCCCATATTAATAAACTGTCGAGTAGACTTAGCTCAGCAGTCTTTGCAGTCAAAAAAATTAGACAGTTGACTGATGTGGATACGGCTCGTCTGGTATATTTTAGCTATTTCCACAGTATAATGTCTTATGGCATTCTACTTTGGGGAAATTCAGCCGACATAAATACTATTTTCATCCTGCAAAAGAGAGCTATTCGAGCGGTTTATAACCTGGGCCCCAAAGACTCACTAAGAAACCTGTTTAAAGAAATAAAAATATTGACTGTAGCTTCTCAGTACATACTTGCTAATGTTATGTATGTCCACAAAAATAAGAATGACTTTTCAAGATTTAGTAATATGCATGATGTAAATACTAGGAACAAGCATAAATTAGTTCTACCCTCAACTAGATTGCGTAGAATAAGTAAATCTTTTATGGGACAATGTATACGCTTTTACAACAAAATCCCAGAAAACGTTCAAAATGAATCCGTTGCTAAATTCAAAAAACTTGTAAAGGAACGTTTGTGTGTTAATGGCTATTAAAGTATTAGTGATTAAAGTATTAGTGATGATATGATAACACACTCTGGAAATGAATTGATCGCTCCAGGCTCTTTCAAGTGGAGTTTAATAGGAGTTTAATAATTGTACACATATTTGTAATTTTTTTGGCAAGTAAAAAAAAAAATAATGTCCCGCTGTGTTTCTTACGCCGGTTCTTCTCAGGTCAGTGGCTTACCTTCCGAACCGGTGGTAGAGTTTTTTGACTATCAATAAGTAAGTGAATGCTTCTATATTGAATAAAGATATTTGACTTGACTTTGACTTTGTATGTGAACTTGTTATTGATGGCCGTGGCTAGCAAGCATGACGAAGTTTTTTTTTGGTTTGGTGGTCAAAAGACGTATAACTTCAAAAACTGACGTAATGAAGATGATAGAACACAAGTCATAAACTTGCAATTTTATACGATATGATTTCGAAATAGTGTATCGAATTTGAGAGGTCCGTAATGGCGACAAAAATAGAACAGGCTATTGGCGGCAAATGTAAATTCGGCACTGTGATGACGATGATGACGCATAAATCTTTTGTAAGTGGCTTTTTATCTAGAGGGCCACAGGAAGCCCGCCTTATCATAATATACTGTAGGAGATTGTCAAATGGTTATGGTTGTGGTTTATGGTTCCGATTGACAAACTTCCGCCATCCATATAAACGGTGGAATTCGGTCAGGTAAATCAATTGTTTGTGAGCACTCGACGCGAGCGGAAACTCCTGGTTC